TGTCAAGAAAAATCTTTTGGGGTCTTACTTCAGTCTGTTCATTTTTGGTCCTGTTTATCCTATTATTGTAAAGAACATTAAGAACAGTTCACTGGATTATCAGTGCTGATGCCAAGGTTGTAAAAGCAGTACAGGATAGTGGAGTATTTGTTTACTATTCAGAATGAAAATAATGGAAATGTCACATTTTCAGATAGCGTTAGTATTCAGATAATGCTAGTAAGACAAAACAGTTCATCACAGTACTACTCAAGTACCTGGGCTGTGATGAGATCCTTTGTGCCTGAAAAAAAAAATATCTTTGAAATAGGTAAGGCAAAAATAACCATCTGTTTTACTCCCCCCGCTCTTTGATGCCTGCATCTGAAGGGAAGCCTACTTTGTGCTAAAATCCTGTGGGTGAAGAATTATGTAAGATGATATTTATTTTTAATTGCAGCTGTCACATTAAGCTGCAGTGTTACTCACCAAGCAAAATGTTATTGGATGAGTACGTAAAATGTAGAGAGTACCTTTTGAATTTCTCAATATTTTTTTCCCTCCCAGAATTACTAGAATGTAATTTCTAGCTTTAATATCAGTGGAATGTAGGCACTACTTCTTGTTTTCATTTGTGCTTACCCAACATATTTGCATTTATTTTACCACTGGACTCTTAGTTTGCATAATTAATTTTGTATTTTGATGTTTCCTGAAAAAGGAGACTAAACTCTTGCTGTTCCCCCCTCCCCCCCCTTCCTCAAATCCATCTCTTCTTCTCAGGTGCACCCGATAAACCTTTCTTCCTTTATAAGGAAGCTGTAGTTCTTCTCCAAGGAAGGGTCTATTGAAAAGTTATGTAACTTCAGCATGTTACAAAACAGAATCACAGAATTGCCAGGGTTGGAAGGGACCTCAGGGATCATGAATCTCCAACCCCCCTGCCACATGCAGGGCCACCAACCTCCACATTTAATGCTAGACCAGGTTGTTCAGGGCCCCATCCAACCTGGCCTTGAACACCTCTAGGGATGGGACATCCACAACCTCTCTGGGCAGCCTGTTCCAGCACCTCACCACTCTCATAGTAAAGAACTTCCCCTCCCTCAACTTAAAACCATTTCCCCTTGTCCTCCTTTTATGTACCCTTTCAAAGAGTTGACTCCCCTCCTGTTCATAGGCTCCCTCAAAGCACGTTCCTCTGTCAAGAATGGCCAAGCCCAGGTTTTCTTTAAATTGTTGTCCAATTATAACCTACAGTTATAATTGATGATTTAAAAAAGAAGAAAACACAAACCTCACGAAATTGTATTTGTCATTCTAATAGTACTGTTTCAAAGCGTGTCCTTATGCCAGGAGAGATCCAGAGAGACAAATCAAATGCAGGGTCCATTAGAATAAAAGAACTTCTGGACTTCTGTTTTCCTTTTTTTTTTTCTTTTTTTTTTTTTTTTAGTACCATGCTGCTTTTGTGGTGAAGTCTACAGACTTCTGGTTGAAGGTCTCCTGTATAGGTTATGTATGATAAATGACTTTTTTTTTTTTTCTTTAATGCTCTAAACTGCCTTTGTCTTTTGAAGAGCAAGGGAGAATTTATGATTTGCCAACTATTTGGCAGAAGGAAGATAAGCACCTTCTACTTCTTATGGAGAAGGCCAAGTGCCAGAACCAGTACAACTACCTCTGCTGTTTAGGTATTTGTTTAGTTTTCATTGCTGTAACAGCTGTTTCCGTCCTTTGTGCAGCAGTGGAGTAGTGGGGAATGCTCTTGCTTGGTTTTATAGCCAGTGCAGGGATTTCTTACCTATGTCAGCTGCACATTTTCTGTTAATTTTCTTTCTGCCTACAACTGGGAAGCTACTTTAAGGAAGCGAGTGCTTCTTCTGAAGGCAGTAGTTACACTTACTGCTTCTCTAGAACTCTGCTGAAAATAGGAGCTATTGCTAAGAAAGCTGCCCTCTGCTCAAATGAGCCTCACTTTTGAATGCTTTTCCTGTGGAATGCATTCTTGTGGTCTTTGTCCCTCTTTTAGAAGTGTTTTTCTGGACTGTTTGGATTAGTAGAGTAGGAAGGCAAATAGCTGAAATGCATCTTGAAATGAGTAAGTGCAGCAGGTGGAGCATCAGCACAATTCAGTGGTGGATCAGCACTCAATTGCAGCATTCTGAGGGATCCCTGCAAGGAGGCTGGCAGCACAACCATGCCATTGGGCTTGAGAGCCTTCACACAGCTAGATAGTGGCACATGTTCTGGAGTAGCTTTTTCTATCTAGAGTATCCTGCATGTCAATAGAAAACCTAGACTGTAATACGAAACAGCTTTGAGTGATATGGATTGGCTCAAATACTGCTGGTATTTGAGCAGCGTTAGAAATCAACATTATGCTGTACAGCAGAGGCCTCCACATTGCTCAGCTTGGGATTGCTGCAGGAAACTTGCTGCTATTTGCAGCTTGAGCTGCCTGGCACTGTGGGTACTGCATCTGGGTGAGGAGAAGAGCAGCTGGTCCTGCCTGCTCTCTTCTGCCCTGTGTTGGCTCCAGTGATTTATTTGGATAATGGATGACTGCAGCTATAGCAGCTTGCTGGATTACTGCAGTTGAGCTGTGGGGTTTATTTCATGCAAATGGGGCCTTTCACTTGCCTTGCTGAATATGGTAAAATCTTCACTTGAAGGTTTTCTACTTTCCTTTTTCCAGTTCTAATGATTTTGTGTATTAACTGTATCTGTCCAAGGGAGGAATTAAGCTAAATGGGTTCTTGTGTTCGTTCTGATGTAGTGAGGAGCAGTTGGGGAAGTTGAGCCAATTGGATGTTTAAGTGTTCAACAGACTGGAACATCTTGTAGCTGGTGCTGTTATCTAATGGAGTCGCTTGTTCTGGTTTGTTTAAAAATTGGATATCATCTGAATTTTGATGGAAATGTAAGATGAAATGGAAGACTGCATATAGTATACCTTGAAATGATGCTTGTTCCTCAGAGTTGGTCTTTGTGGTCTTTTACAGTCGAGATGTATGGTAATGGCTGAAATGCAGACAGTTTTAAAATAGGTAGACAGTACAGTGTGGACCCTGAATAACTTGTGGGCAAGCTAGCCTGAAATTACTCATTGCCACAGGTGGATTTGCTATCTTATAGCTTTTTTGTGAGAAAAATATTAGGACTTTGCCAGAAAACAGTTGTGTTAAAATGCTATCCTCCGCAGGGTGAGTTAGGTACTGAAAGAATAGGTAAGAGAAAAATAACTGGTGTTCTGCACACATTAATTTCCATGGCACAGTAGTTCAGTAGTGATAATTTTTCTATTCTTTACCCTCATTTAGAAAATTTACATTCAAAAAGATATGTTTTTACCTGAACAGCAACTTTGTCTTTTTTAGGGCTGAAGAAGGAGGAGTTGTGAAGTTTGTTTGGCTGCTCTTCAGAATTATGAAGGAGGAAGTAGGGCATGGGTGGTGGAGACAGCTTTATTTTACTATTCTTGGCTGCCTTAAAATATTTTTTTTTAACATTTTCATGTTATACTTCTAATTAACATTTTTAGAGCCCCTTAGGTGTATTCCTCAACTTTTTGGAGTATACAAATAGTGTTGTAACTTTGGCAGTGGTACTTCAAAAACTTGTTTTGACTGTGTGCTCATGTGCATTGCAGCGGAAATGTTGTGCTTTTTTGATCTCTCACCATTCAGCTCTTCATTGGTGCTGCTGTTGGTGTTAAGCCCCGCTGACTAGTTCATACAGCTGCAGGCTTTGAGTGCATCTGCCTGGAGTGTGGGTACTGCTTGTGGTTCTGGTCTTCCAGTCCTCCCTGTGATTTCTTCTGCCTGTAGTACTTCTTTTGCTCTTTGCTGTACCTGTAGTGTGGAAATGGCTTTGTGGTTTATATAGTCTCTTTTGGAGTGGAAATTCCCATTCTGATGAGACTTCAGGGGATATAAGCAGCGTCATTAGCTCTGCTGTAAAATTCCAGCTGATTTCCCTTGAGAATTCAGGGCAGGAAGCTGTTCCAGTGTCACTGGTTGGCTGGAAGTCCACACAGAAGTTTAAGTTGGGTAGTTTGGTACAGGATGTTCTTCTGAGTTGGATGTGTGCCTTTCTACCTTAGAGCTACCAATTACTCGTGTCTGTTGGCTTGTGCTGGCTGGGCCATACAGATTAGTGTCGTTATAATTTGCTGTGGGTGTTTTTGCAGAAGCTTAATTTGAATTGCAACTTGTATACAACTGTAAAATCTTTTGTTATCTAAGTAATGTTCTCGTGAGTGTTTTCTGTTAATTATGACTGCTCTTGTTGTTCTCCTTAGTCTCACAGTGGCGAATTCATTTATTTGCAATTGAAGTGCAGTGCTTGCCTGTATGTCAGGGCCATTACTTCCAGACACGCAATGTAGTGAGATTAATTTCTTCAGTTATATCCTTAACATTTAATTTCAGTCCAAAATAATCTTCAGCCACTTCTAATATGACAGTTGCCGCTTGGTGAAGTACAAGATAATGAAAATGGCAGTATGCAAAGGGAGCTTTTGAAGTGCTTGTGTGCTGTGTGAGAGGACTTGAGATGTTTTAAAATATATCTTCTGTGCTGTGTTTTAAAAGAACAAGTCCCTTCCCTTAAAAACTCTTGTTGACACACACGTTTCAAAGATGTGTATACAAGAACATAGATTTTTTTTTTCAAATAATCATCTATTTTTCAGTTTATTTGTTCCTGTTATCGTTACCTGCCTTGTTGTTACTGTTTATAAGGTTCCTTGTTTCTTTTAAAATGTCGCATTTCTGCCTCTCTGCATTCATGTTGTAACTCTGTGCTACATATGCTGTCATTTAGTATCAACTTTCATAATTTTCTTTATGCACTTACATTTCTTGTTTGGTTTGCTGGGAAGATAGGCTTGAAGCATTGTGTTACCAACCTCCTATTGCTTTACTCCCCCACCTCAAATGTTTTAAAAAGATGTCATCACATAAACCTATGATAAACTACATTTGTCTGAAACTTTTTTCTTTTTTTTTTTCTTGTAGTTCCCGGAATAGATGGCGGTGGGTTAGCTGATGCTAGTCTCACAGATTCTTACTTTAGCACCAGCTTCATTGGCGTTAATGGATTTGGAAGTCCTGCTGAATCCAAGTATCCCATGATGCAGGTAATAGCAGAGAGTTGCTTGGTGTTTCATTAGTTTGGGCTGGCATTGCACCAAGAAGGGTAACTGTCCCAAGAGTCAGGAAGAGTGCAGTGCTCTGGTATGTCATTTTGCAGAGCGTACTATATATACTTGCTTTAATCTTGTAAATAGAAATGAAACAATAGTGTTGTTTTAAAATTAGCTTGTTTTTATTGGCACTTATTTCAGCTGTTTGATTGGCCATTGCTACATATGTTAACTCCGCGCTTCTCCATCTTTTCTGCTTATATCTAATTTTGATAGTCTTTTACAAGATTTTGAGATATTGCAAAAAGCAAAAGTCACTTAAGCAAGATGTGAACTGAAATCAGTAAATTGCCAAGCAGAAAAAAAAGAGTTTATAGACTCACATTCAGTGTTGATTTAAATATTCAAGTCATCTGAAATTCTGTTTTTCTATTTATACTGCTTCTGTAGATGTTGACACAGGAATTTCCATGAAGTGGAATTATGGTATAGGTAGCAACATGTCATATTTAAAACCTAAACAAGCAATGATTGAATTAACACATGCAGTACTGCGATTCCATCAAACTTGCTTTTAAAAGCTGAGAAACATAGTCTCTCCCTGTACGCAAGGGTTTAAGGGTTTAGAAACTAGCTTTAGTTTCTGGTAAATGAAAGAGAGTGCAAGTCAAATAGTTCCCACTGAGTCCTGACAGCAACTCTCTTCTTTTGTATCGAGGAAACTCTCCTTATGAGCTTACTTTGATCTCAGTTGTGGCTGTGTATTATGGATTGAAAAATAACTCAGCAAAAGGTGGGAAATAGGTGTGTTCCCTTTTCATTTCTTACTGCATGTTTTCAAGAAAACTGGATTTTCTCATTCAACAGAATTGCAAAATTATTGAAACATATATTACTGATGCATGATTTTAAAAGAGCATATTTAACCTCTGATAGCAGAGTGTTTTGATTAATCTAGACATTAGGTATCTTTTTAAATTTTATGTACAGTTACAAATTTGGGTGCTACTGAGGCTGTATTTTATCCCTTTACTAGAAAGTCATTGTTTTGTGTTGTTAAAGCGAATTCTACAGCAACACTGACATCTTTCTAAGCACAAAGTTTTCATTTATAATTTTTTTCTAGAAATATGATGGGCATGAATCTAATGTGAATACTCACAGAACTTTTAAATACTAATGCCTGTGACATTACAGTCAAGGCATTGTGTTTCTTTTTGAGAAAATAGAAGAAATCACTATGCCTCTTACCTATAGGAGGCTAAAGAAAAGTACTTCTTCAGGTGAATTGCATTATTGTTGAAAAAAGCGATAGGCATTAAGCTACAGTTCAAACAAGAGCATTTTTATGTTGATTTGTTTGATCTTGCTTTAAATAATGTAGTTTAAGTTCTTATTTTCATAGGTAAAGCTGTCAATGCTGTTTTGGTTGTCTGTCAGCTTCTATGACAGACATACTGAGACATATTGAGACCATACTGCCAAATTTACTCACTTGTGGTATGATTTCTCACGTCATTCAGCCCTCTGGAGAACAAGGCAAGGGAAAAATCTGACTTTTATTTAAATAAAACAAGTGCTTTACAGTTTGGAATAGAGGATTTAAGCCTGATAGATCAGCGGTTGCATCAAGGATGTATCTTTTGCTGCCTTTATGCAAATTTGCCCAGATTTCATCACTTGATAAAACTTTCCAAACTGGTTTATTTAGCACAACTGGAAGGCTCACTAGGAGCTAGATAATTTAACAAAGATACAGCCTGCACTGGCATGTTCCAACATGAGTTCATTCCTGTTGCTATGGTCTTGGCCTGGTCTAGGCCTTGGTTGAATGCAGGGCAGGAATGCTGATCTTCCTTTACCTTTCCCTTTTCATCCGCTTCATCTGAAGCTGCATGGAAGAGAGTCTTTATTTGGTGAAAAAAGAGCTGCATCTGGGTTAACTGGAATGGAGAGATGTAGAAAGGCAAAGAGACATGCACTGGGCTTAGAGAAACTGATTTGAAGATGAGAAAATAAGATGCTGGGAGGACAGAACTGTGAAGGGAAAGAGCAGAGAGACTTGCAGAATGAAGAGTGAACTTGTGTGAGGGAAGTGTGTTCAGATCCGGACGAAGAAACAAGGTGGCATGTCGCAAACTTGAGTTGCAGTTGCAGAACAGGACAAATCTTTGCACATATTCTTTCCTGGGTCCAAACTGAGATACTGCAAATTTAGCATTCTGCCTGTCAATGAAACATCAGAAATCTGCTGCAAAATGTCTAATTAGCCTCTGCTTTGCTTTTGCAGATGAAAGTGTCTATTTCCATCCCTGAGTCACTTAGTCATCTGTGGTGGACCTGTGCAGTTCACAAATAGATATATCAGTGATGCAGTATGAGGAAACTTTTCAATTTATTTATTTTTTTACTGGGGAAATAGCATAAACAGGCAAATAAATATGCAGCTATAAGAATGCTAGTAAGTACAGTTAGATGTTAAGAAATGGTAAGTTTAGTTTGCCAGTGCAACCTTGAGTTTATGTATTGAGATGTATTCCCCATAACATTGTGTAGTTTTTCAGTTGGAGAATTATAAGGAGGACTTGTTCAGAACACAGGCTGCATGATGTGTACCTGATGAGCGTTCATTTGATAGTCAGTCAAGTGTGCATCTTATAGTTCCATGCCTCACTTTTGCATGCTGTTGAAATCATTTTCTTGAAGACTACTAGTTGGCATTCTGCTTCCATGTGCGGGTTGCTTTTGCTGAATCTGATGTTTACATTTCCTTTCTAAAGTAAAGGAATGCTTTCTTTATTAAAGAAGAAAGCTGTCTGCATTTTATGGAGGCATGGAAAGAAAAAGATGACCAAAAAACCAAACAACAGCAATGCTACCTGTACTAGAGAACACCAGAATTACTGAATTTAACCTATGTGACTGGAAGGTGAGGAATGGAGTTAGTGACCCTATGTAGAAGACTTGGTTGAAGTGGCTTTACTGGTCTCAATCTAGTGAGGATAATAATAGTTGGTCTGTTGTGGGTAATGCTCATTTTCATTCCCTATGGGATATTCTACATTCCATGCTTTATTCACTAAATGCCTTCCAACATTATTACCAGGGGTTCAATAGATAAGTCTAAAACTTGATAAGACTATTCCTAATTAATTTTAAGAATGCAATTGTTATGTGCAGCAAATGGAACAAGTTTGATGGAAACAACTGTGGTTGTGTGCAGTGAGGTTATCATAACACATATGTAATAGAGCCAAACTGCCTCAAGCTAAGTTACTATCCAAATTTTGCAGTTAATGTTGTATTGCATGCAAGAACATAAGTAAGCAGCATTAGGAAGGAAAATAAATTGTATCATGATGAATTGAGGAAATACAGTCTTTGAATAAATATTACAGATAGCTAGTGATCAACATTTCTTCAGAACTGATCTTTCTAATTCCAAGATCTCATTTGGATGCATGAAGAATATTTCAAGAGGTCTGGAAGCATATCATTGAGATTAGACTGGTGGTAAAGGTGCAGCTAATGATGATACCCAGTTTGCAGTGGAAAAAAGATGAGGGTAAAAATCCTGAGAAGTACTAAGAAGAGGCAGGTCTTTTAAAGTGGCCATTGTTCTAATTCTTTGTAGCTCCTTTCTAAAAATAGAAACTGCCTCATTCTTCTATTCCTCGGGCTGCATCAAAATTGTGTGCTGTTAGCCAATCTTTCATTGCCTCCTGTTGGTCCCTTCTATTGTTTCTAACAAGTTTTCTATTGATAAATAGTCTCCTGTCATCATCAGTTTGCATTTTCCTGTTTTACAGTTCTGTTTCACATGTCTTTTCTTCCCTGAATCTGCATGTGGTTTTACATACTGTATTTGCAGTACTGGCTTCCAGCTTATCAAAGCATGTATTTTCTGTTTTCTCCATCTCTAACTAATAACAGAGCAGGCCTGCACTACACATGGCTCCCAGGCTGCACACTGTCCCTAAAGCTGTTCTTTTTCCTTCTGGCTTACGAGCAGCCAAGAGGCACTCTGAGATGTGGCTCAAGAAGCAGCTCATTCCCTTTGGCTCTCCCAGCAGCAAGGAGGCAGGAACTGGCTGGGTGCCTGTAGAGCTTGGCTGCTTGGTCAGTCATTCTGCATTTACCTTCATGCTTCTCTGAACCAACCACATTAGTACTGCCTCTTTACTAGCTGTGGATTGATCCAGGTGGTGTGGGAAGGAGTCTCAGTAGTGTTATGCTGGAATCATGAAAGGATATGTGAATAATCTGTGAGAATATAGGCAGAGTAGTACCTTGTTGTCAAAACTTCTGTTACCATGTTGATTGAATAACTTGCTTGTAAGAGCATAAAACAGCAGAAGGTGTCTTCACGTATGCTGCTTCACAGGAACGTTTTTCTGTGTTTTGGTATGATGAGCTTTATAACTACATGCCTTTCATTGGTCTGCAGGTTACACGTAAAGTAAAAGCACATTTTATCAAGTAATAGCTGTAAACAAGATAAGAAAAGGAGTGTAATAGCTTCAGTGCTAAAAACTGGCAAGGCCATGTAATGCAGAGGAATCAATCTTGCTTTTGCCATGCTAATATTGGTGTACTAAGAGTTCTTGAAAAGCCTGAGAAGTAGAAATCTCCTTCACTTCAAAGCCTTGCAGCTGAGTAAACACAAAGGCCTTTGTTCCCATTGTTGCATCTGCCAAGAACTGAGTAATAAAACTCTCCTTATAGCACAGAGGCTTGTAAATGTCTTCAGTTTTTAACTATTGAGGACTGAGTGGAAATATAGAAATACTATTTTAAATACAAAATGATGCGATTGTTTACATAATGCCTTTTGAAGAAATCTAGTTGCTTTAGTTCAAACAGTTCAGTGGGACGTGCTGTAGGTGGTGTCAAATATGCTAACCACCCAAGACAAGTTTGGAATGGCTTAGAAACGAAAGCAAAAGGTGTCACCGTTTGTAGGTCACAGAATTTGACAGCTAAACAATGGTTTGTTTGGTTGTGACAATCTTATTCTTTTTGCAAGATAACTTCTATTATAGTTCAATTAACATTATTTTGAAAATTACAAAAAAATACTCTGAAATACAATTTCAGTAGAAGAGTATTAAGATGAAGAGAATAACTTGTGACGTGCTACAAAATGTTTTTTGAGATAATATACATAGCAAAGGAATGATTCGGAGAGAGGTACTTCGTTTGCTCAGAATTAAGGTGAAGGATATGGAGACAAAGGGAACAAATGCCATCTCTAAATACTGTTTTGAGAGGGCAGAGAAGAAAGCAAAAACTCCATGAATCTAAGATATATCTTGTAACATAAATTGTAAAACTAGATCTAATTGTATGCTGCAAAGCTTTATTCATCCTCTATCTTGATGAAAATTCTATAACTATATATTTTTGGGTAGAGTGAAATAAAAGCAAAACAAACTTGGTGATAGTGGAGGGTAGAGGCAAGATGATGTGCATTTAGAAAAGGCTACCATTTTTCTTAAATTTTATTATTTTTCTAGCATACTGGACCAAGGAGATATTGAAAAATATCTAATTCTCAAACATGTTATCAAAATAGCAATTTAATGTAGAATTTATACAGTGATGCTGTTGTCATCTTAGTCTGTCAAAATAATACTTGTTTTTTTTAAAGGCATGTTATCCTGCAGCAGTTCTGAACAGGAAACTTTAGTGACCAACGGACTATCTTATGTTTAGATGAGGTAATGATTCACTTTGACATAAGTGTCATTTTTGAAACAGTACTGTTTTACACAGTCTTTTCTGTGGGGGGCGGGGGGGGAAAACAACTTATGAGCATATTCCCTCTCCTGTATTGCTTGAATATTCAGGCATTAACACGGTTGTCTGAAACATCCCCCCCCCCCCCCCCCCCCATGAAATAAGGGACTGTATTTTGTCATTGATAGAAGCTCCAGCAGTGCAAGCTGAAGCTTCAAGTGAAATCCTTGGACAGGGCTGAATGTGACAGTTTTGTTCTGTAGCAGCTCTCTTTTGAGACGTGAACAGAAACAACTTTTTAGTTCCTTTAAAGGGAGAGGGGCAGAATGTATGCCAGTCAGCCTAGTTGAATTTTAACTATGGCTTAAAGAACCTCAATAAATCATAGCACCAGGCAGGCAAAGAGGAGGAATTTTTATGGACCTGAGTAACATTGGAGCGATGCACAGTTGTGCCAAAGTTCTTTCCATGTTAACTTCGATGTGGTGAAAGTCATGATGTATTTATACAGGTTAGGAACTGATACGTGTGTGCTTGCTGTGCCTGGCAGGCTATATAGGAATGAATAGTTTGTTCTTCTGTCCATGGTCGTTGCTTTTACCCTTCTGGACCTTTCTTCTTTTGGGCTTGAGTTTCTTGTGCTTGGATTATTCTTGAAACTGAATTTGTATGAAAAATAGTTGGATGCTACTGAAAGATGAAGGAGTGTTATTTGGAAATAAAAACGTGTTGTCCAGAAAACATAAGTAACAAATAATTCTTGCTGTAGTTTTTAATTTATTTGCTGTTTAAGATATTCTCATGTGGACTCGGTAAAAATGAGGTACAGAAACAAGCTTAATTAATACTAAATGCTTTTGGGTGTGGTGGAAATCTTTGATATTAAAACATCTTTAAAGTCCTTTACATGACTATGTGTAGGACTTTCATGAATAATGCTAAGAAGCTTGTGCGTGTGTAATAAATGGTGAGAAAGATGAAAAATTAATGGAAGCGGCTGTTGACGTGGTGTTTTGTACCTCATTCAATATGGAGCTTACAAACAATTATTAGAGCAAGTGCTGTCCAAGATCAGAAAGCTGTTTTTTGGAGCCATGGTTCATATGAAACGTTTACACCTTGAACAAGCCATCTGACATTTGTAGGTTCATCAAGTTCTTTGCGCAGTGCTATTAGGATACTGAACAATGTGCTTGTTGCAATGTCTTCAATGTGCATAATGTGTTTTTACTGATCATATCAGTGCTGATTTTCATCACTGCAGTCACATTCACACTGCGAGCCTAGTGATTGAATGTTTAATTCCTCTACTTGAAGACGAAAAATATTGATGGCAGAGAAGAGCTTGGTTCCCAATTTAAGCCATGTGCTCAGTGATTTTTTGATACCAGCCTAGATATCAATCTGATGTATCACTGTTATGACAGACCATTACACTTTGCTTTAAAATTGTTATAAAAATCTGAGTGTCAGAAATAGACATTAACACTATTTTTAATCAACACCTGGACAATTTGCAAATCTGAAAGGTTTCCATTAGATTCCTAAATCACTCCTTAAAAGGACCAGTGTGGATGTACAAATGCTAAGAGCGAGTGCACTGTTAGGGATACTTTACAAGTACAATTGTGGAGTAGAGTGAATACTGTCTCTATAGATGTGAGATGGGTGGCATCAAAATAAGGAAAGCATATAAAGCAAATGCTGTTTCTCATTTCAAATTTCTCATTTGCAAGTACTCTGGTACTGCTTCATATCATGCTACATACTCATACTGAATGAAAAGTTGTTGGGAAAACCCGGTGGTGGTATTGGGCTTGCTGTAGATTGGAGCACAGATCATAGAATCATAGAATCACCAAGGTTGGAAAAGGCCTACGAGATCATCCAGTCCAACTGTCCTCCTGTCACCAATAGTTCTCACGAGAGTATATCCCTCAACACAACGTCTAAACGTTCCTTGAACACCTCCAGGGTCAGTGATTCCACCACCTCCCTGGGCAGCCCATTCCACTGCCTGATAACTCTTTCAGAAAAGTAGTAGTGTTTCCTAATATAGTAGAAAGGGCAATAAAAGAGACTAACATGTCAGCTGACTGTAGTATATTGATTGAATATGCTATTGAGAGGATAACAATAAGATACTTGTTTAGGATACCTAAGTTTTGTAAAAACTTTCTTAAAATTTCTTTTCTAGTAGTGCATGCTGTTTTTTTGTTTTTTCCATCTGGTCAAGAATTGGATGAAATGGCATTGATGTGTTATGCAGTAGGCTTTTTGCCATCTGCCACCAGCATTTGGACTGGCAATGGAAAAATGAGAGCATGAAGAACAACTCCAGTGACCAGTTTTGAGTCTTAGTCTGTGTCTAGACTACTGAATGAGACATGCCTGGAAACTTTCCTTGGTACCAGGGGCCAGCTGGCATGGAATGATCTGTTTGTGCTGGTGTACACTCACCCACGAAAGCAGCTGCTGTGTGCAGACTGTCTACTTGAAGGGATCTCAGGATTTCTCACTGCTGAATACTGGCCTGAAATTTGGCTGGGAGACTCCTGGCTGGTGTAGGCCAAAAGTACTGCAAGGAGTATGTTAACAAATTACAGGTGCTATCGCTTGGAGATGGAGAGGACGCTGCTTGACATTTTTCTGCTTTTCCTCCAGCTGGGAAACTGGGCAGAGAAGACAATAAGCAGGAGTAAATGAACGCTGCTTAACTTCTGTGTCAAAGTAGTTGGAGTTCTTAGCACAGCATTGTCTCACTTAGTCCAGGTGGCTGCTAGGTGGCACCTCCAGAGGAGTGCAGGAGAAGCACGTAGGGCCTAGAAGGAAAATGGAGCAGGTTTCATGCATCCTGCTGGCTTACAAGAATCATGTGATTTTGCTGAAAGGTCTCGTTCTTTTGTATTAAAAAAAACAGAAGACCACAAACCAAAACCAACAGCCTCCTCCCCATCAAATGTGATACTAATTTGAGTATTTTGGTTAGAAAAGTATCATAAGCTGATGATGGTGTGTAATAAGGGAAGGAGTTGATTCACACGTACATAGTGAATGAACGTTTAAAGGAAATTATAACGGAATAACTGACTTTTCTTCCTGCAAAACAGTGTTAGATAACTGTAGGTTTTGTAAAGCCTCCCAAGCTAGAGAATAGTGTTCTGGCTTAGTATGTAGTCATTTTTGGTTTGCATTGTTCTCATGTGAAATACTATATTTTACTAAATACTTTTCTCAACAACAGATGACTCTTTCTAAAATTTTCTAAATATCACTCTCAGCGCTCTCATTTAATTTCTGTAGCTTTATTTTATGTACAATTTTATTTTTTATTTTTTCAGAGGATGACAAATAGCAGCAGCTCTCCTAGCCTTCTCAATGACAGTGCCAAGCAATATGCAGGCCATGGTAAGTATCTTAAAGTAACAGATACAAACGTATGTTTAGGAGCATAAGTGATTTCCCTTTAGTAAAAGTGAGCCATAAGATAGGTTTTCTCCTCTGATCTGATTTGAGATGCGGGAGAACTTTGTGTCTTATGGTATAGTATCTAAGAATTTCCTGTAGTCTGAAGTTCAAGTGCTACAGAACTCATAAATTTTCAGCCTTCTTTTTTTGTTGTGGGGAAAACCTAAGTAACAAAACAAGAAAATTTCAAAAACAAACAAACAAAAAAACCCACTGCAAACATTATCAGGTTTTCTCACATCAAATTAGATGCTAGTTTAGATAACCACTATAAAGCACTGATAGCTTAAGTAAGTGTTTATGTTAGTCCACAGTAATATTCCTTTTTATTGTGCTGTTCATGGCAATTACTCTATAGAATGAATATACGGGGTTTTAATCTTAAGGGAGTACATTTTTTGTGGAATTTATCACATAAGTGACAAATCCTAAGAGATACTCAATTTTGTCCTGTAAGCAGTAATTTACTTCCAATGTTTTTCTTGTTATTGGGAATGTGTTTCAACCAAATAATATATCTCCACAGTGCAGGCCTACGAGTTCACTAGACTACTATGAAAAGTGTATTGAACTTCCATGATGTGCTTTTATGAATTCCTTTCCAAATTATAACAGGCACTGCAGATGATTTCAGCTGTTGCTGTCAAACCAACTTCTTTCAATAAGAGAGTACTGTTAAAATTTTCTGTGCTGAAAATTGCTGTATGAGTTGTAGAAGTCCATTTGTGTGTCGAATGCTATTTATATTATGCTCACAGCTTTTTTTTTTTTAAGCATGGTAGTATCTATGCCTAAGAAAATTAATTTGAAAGTCAAAATTTGTTTTTGTTTTTCTTCCTCCTATTTCATTTCCAGTAGGTTTTGTGCTTTGTGCTGCTAAACAATTAGCTATTCATTGCAGTGGAGTTCTGCTGCCTGTGTGACAGGACAGATAGCGATGCTGATGCATGTGAAGGAGAGAAACCAGACTGAGTTCTGAAAGGAACGTTAAATTCTGTTACGTCTGTGGTCCTTTGTTCTCCTTCACTTGTAGAATTAACCTTTAAAGGAGTATGTATTAATACTGAAGAGTGTTTGTTAAAACGTTACTGTTTTAACAGGTGACATTAATGTCTTAATTTGATAGTTAGATATATTTGGTTTGGATTTTTGTGTTTAAGTTGCATCTGTGATTGTTGTTGTGTGTATATTTATATAAATTTGGCTCTTCAGTTTTGCGTAGGGACAAAGAAAAAGCAGTAAAAAAGCTGCTAGTAGAATGTGGACTCTTGCTATCTTTAGTTGTGGTTGAAATTCGTACGTGACAAAGAGCATCCATATTATTTAGTAAATCAAAGTTAATTTCAGGTAGCTAGAGATAAAGGCTTTGAAATGTTGGATGAACATTAAGTAGTATTGAGCAATTGAATGTAATAAGTTCTGTTAATAAGCACCATTTCATTTGTGCTGTTGCATGAAATCTGACAAATACTGCCATTTTTCCGTGTGCTTGCTAAACATAATTTTGTCTGAAGTATTTCTTCCATTCAAACATTAAAAACTTTAAGCTTTCTTTTTAATATTGGGAGTGTATAACATGTTGTCTTGCATTCTTTCTACAGATCCGCTAACTTCACCAAATTCATCCTTGTTTAATGACTTTGCTGCCCTCAGTGTGTCTCAAAGGAGAAAGGTAGGCAGTAACTAAAGCTTAAGCAGAATGTTTGTATTTGAGTTGAGAGGGAATAAGATTGAGAATAAACTGAACTAGTTGAACTAGTAGTGAAATAAGAATGAATCTTCTAATACTACTAGATTAATTTTAATATTTCACTGCTGATTTGAGATCTTTTTTAAGTGTTGCTATGCAAGATGCTACTATTGCAAAATATTACAAGCATTTATGAATTTTATAAAAATGCTTTAAATGTGAAAAAAAGCATAGTCTTTTAAATTTGAAAACAAATAATTTTTATTATTCTAAGACTTGCATGTGATTTATCTTGTGCCTTCATGGTACAAATTCTGAACACAGGAATAATTCCCACCATTTATTTGTCCACTATGTTAAAGTAATTCTTAGTTTGAAATGCATTCAGTTTGAAATGATGATAATATTTTATGATAATTTTATGATGATAATATTGGGAATTCTGGGCTTGGTACTTTTCCTCTCTAATTTGTACGGAAAAATCTTTTTGAATACTAGACAGTGCTTTTTCAAACATCTGTGCCAGCTCAGGCTGTGCTGTTTACCAATTGTGTGCTTACAGACACAGTGGCTGGAGGAAGAGAAATAAGATTCTTTTTTTTTTTAAACACTAGAACTATTTTTTTTTCCTGAATTGTCTCATATAAAAAAAAAAAAGAGTTTATTTTCCTAACCGATTATCAGGTTTTACTTTCACTTATGACTTTCATCTTTTGCTTCTTACTTGCCATGTGATCCTGAACTTTCCTGTAGTCAAGAATACCTTTTTCTTGAATTTGCACTATATCAGCATGCTTATGACCTTTACATGTTGGCAAATAAGCTTTTTATTATTCCTCCAGGTGAAGCTTAAAGATAATGGCCACAGTTGGCCCATCAAACTTTTTTTTTTCTTGAAGTAAAGTACAGTTGTAGAATGATCATTTCCCAATATCAAAACTACATGGAATTGCTGAATTGTCCCTTTCTTTAATGCCAGCTAGAGAGCACTGGCAGTTTCATTTAAATAACTTGACATGTGTCTACCTATTTACTGAGGAGAGTAAGAATGAAAATCTTATATTTCCTCTTTAAACTTCGTCTGCAAGCACTATGTATGTGTGGGTGTGTATTTGTATGTATGTAAAACATATATACAAAAGAAAATGAACTATCGTGCGAAAGTATGCTAAAAGGACCACTGCTTCTAACACTAAAGAACTTTGAAATTAATTAGTGCAAAATGGATGCAAAGAGAAAGCTCGAATAACATAAAGCTCAAATACTAATGAAGAATCTTTTCTGACTTTCTCTTTTCCCCAAGAAAGAATCAGCAATTAAACCACTTGCTACAAAAGTAATACCAAGAGATTATGAAAACGGATTTTTTTTTCCCAATTAATATTTCAGACATAACTGGCATTAACTGAAAGAGGCTTTGCTTTGAATATTAATCATTTATTGTTGATTATGAATTCTATCTTGTAATGTATATCTGTGCAAATGTTGATAAGTAATGCTGGTAATGGGGAGGTTTTCATCTAATATGACCTGAACTGTCTTAAAATCTAGGCATCCAGGCTCCCTCTATAGTCAGCAGAGAGCGATGAGCAGCCTGAAGGAGCGCTTGACTGATACTGAGAAAAACATGCTACATAAGACCCATGTCAGTGGCTGATTTAGGTGGTTAATACTTGATTTGTAGAGCCCCAAGAAATTAATCTCAATTCTGATGTGGCTGTCTGACTTTGACCACCAGAAGATACTTTGCAAACTATCTTGGACATTGTTTCTCAATATTATTAGTACATTTTGAGCATCATGTTCAAATGCGTTAAGTAATTTCCTTGAATCAGATGCTTGAGTGCTGGATATTTGAAAACTTATGTGATTTGCCTCCACCTCAGTAACTTGGTTTTATTTAGAGCTTGAGCAACATGCCTTAACTGGCCAGTGTTTGCTACCTGCTGTAACACAAGCTAGACGGCCACCTAGGAGTGCATGTTTCTGTTCATTGACTCTAAAGGGAGCCTTGGTGACTGACTGAAGTGTAGGTGTTTATAACATCTACTGCTTAAAAAAAAAAAACAAAACAAAAACTTTCCATTTTCTTGCTAAGAGCACAGGGCTAAGGTTTTGTTTGTTCTGAACTAGCTGGCAAAACCAGCATTTCCTTCGTTTATCACTGACTTGGAGGACAGATATAATACAGTCCTGGTAAGTGAATAAAGAGTAATTGTTTTGCTTTACAAATTAGAACTGTGGTATTCTAAGTATATAGAATTGTTTGCAATTGTCTGAACTCTTGTGTTATTTAAAACCACATTACACATTTTTTGTAGAAACTATTTATGTGGATATCTTTAATGAAGTTAAATTTATTACTTCTTTATTAGTGATTTATTACTGATGATGTTATCCTGGCAACCCTCTAATAGTGGGCAAGCCGTGTGAATTTACATTTGATAATGAAGTATAAAAAAATGACTTGATTATAATTTTGAATATTCTTGCTTTTTAATAAGTGAAGTTTTTTGAAACTAGTCAGTGTAGTTGGGCTATTGAAATTGCTTATGATTATTCTTATGCTTAAAATGTTGGTTACAGCTTTTAGAAACATTTAATCTTTTTGTTTGTTTAAAAAGTTAAAATAATTCTTTATCTTCGAGAATGTTCATATACATTGTTTTCTCTGTCTAGAAATTATTAAATTGCATTTCAATTTTAGATTCCAGGAAAGATAAGATTACTATTTAAAGACATTTTATAGGATACTTAAAAATGAAATCAAAGGAGCTAAGTATTTCTATAGATGGAGCCTTGATGGAGGTTCTGTCAACTGTAAACCCTGCTGGATTTACTGTCCGGTTGTTGTAATTCTACATGCAGTAAGACAAGCAACCTTAAAGTGAATTTCCTATAAGAGATTTTCAGGTAAGTATTAACTTACAATGCACAAGTAGGATTTGTGAAGCATGGAACAACAGCTAGAGTTAGTGACAGACTAACCCTCTTTCCTGAGAATAATGATGTTGCACTTCTTATTTTGTTTTTTATTCAAATACGGGTTATGTTTGGGGGGAAAAAAAAAAAAAAGCTTAGCATTTTGAATGTGAAGTTCTTGGGTGTTTTTTCCAAAATTGAATTTTTATTTTTATCTAGAAAAATGTTCTTTTATAAACCTGGAAATAATCTTGGAATGAGTTGGAAAACTCATTTGTTTGCATTTTGGTTCTGGTAAGCAGTTCATTAAAAATACACACAACGTAACCGATGAGAATCTGGTGCTAAGGGAATGACCATTTGACATGAAAAGATCAAAAATACGTGATGAAATTTTTTGCTTAAATTTGTTCTGAGACTGTTACTACCAATCTGGACTAAAGAGTTGTACTGGTCAGCCTTATAGGATAATAAAAAACATTGTTTACATTCATTTTATTTTCTTATATACCTTCAATCCTCATGGAAACTGAACTCTTCAGAAAAGTTGCTGATGCTGGTTTATTTCCATTTTGGACTCTGAACATGTAGAGGAGGAGAGCCCTTAACGTGGGGATTGCTGTTAGTTCCCAGGCTGCAAGGAGAGAGCTGGTTTGCTGCAGTGAATTGTACTTCAGCGCAATTGTGATGTTAATTGTATGTGTTTTGCAGAATTTTTTTTAGAACTCCTTCCACTGGTTTTAGCTGACTACAAGCCAAGAGTAACAGACTCCAAACTAGATTAGAATGGAAAGTGTAGGAGAGATGATCTGGACTGACGTTCTTTCAGAACAGACTGCTATTTGGTGTCTTTCTAGAGATCCATGGCAGGTGGAGGTTGTGCAGTGGACTTCTTTATTCGTGTACTTTGATCAGAAGTAAGAAATACTCAGAGAGCAAAGTTTTGAAGCAAAAAAAACTTCCTGTAAAGCTGGTCTACATAAATGCAAACTCTTTTTAAGGAGTACAAGGAGAGTTTCTCTTTTTAAAGAAAAAAAAATAAATAACTCCAGGTGCCGTAGAATACAAATTTATAAGATCTAAGCTGTATCTCAGAGCGTTCTTCCCTCCATCTAGCTTTGTTACCATTTGGGAAGCTGTATTTTTCTCCAGTGCCCCATCTCCAACTCTATCTTGATACTTCTCGCTACTACATCTGTATTTTATTCAGTGGTGCTCATTGAAGAGACAAGCATGCTGTGTTTGGTTTTGCTTTATTTACTTTTACTGAAGATTGTTCCATGTTTCATGGTCTGAATACCAGTTCAAAGAGATGAAGTGTATTCTGAGTAGCTGAGAGGTCATTGCCAAATGCCACCTTGTGTCACTGTGTTGTGAACTGCAGAATTTTGGCTGCACACACCTCATGGTGCACCTGGGCTGTACATAGAGTTGGAGGAATATAGAACAGGTTATGATGTAAAGAAAACTAACAAATATTTGCAGGTAGTACAAAGTTCTCTATCTAAGATGTGTTTTAAGGGTATGATGTCTGACCTGCTTTACTGTTTCCTTTGGAACTATTGCATAATGAAATTGTTCTGCATAATGTTGTTGTCTTAGTGTATTCTATGTATGTCACACTCAAAAATATGATACTGAGTGGATTCTTCGCTTACTTTGGGTTTTGTGTGTGGATTAGTGATTATCATGTGAGAACTCTTGTTATTGAGGCACTTTATTTTAGGAATGCTTCATGCTGCTTATAGTGATGAGTTCTTATGTTTTTGTTGCCTCACCCTATTGTTGAGCCACCTTGAAGGAAAAGAGCAGAGTAAGATGATTTAATAATGTAGCCTGAAGGAACTACATTAATAACAGCTTTGCTGGTTTGGGTTTTATGTCTAAGTGGGTCAGATAGACTGTGTGGACTCACAGACATCTAATATTTCAAAGCTACCCTTGCTCTCTGTTTTTTAAGCGTATTTTTTCTGTTAGCCATCTAGACTTTCTCAGGTGCTCCCCACAAACTACAAATTTAATTTAAACAAGCAGGGTGCTTTTGTTTATTTTTATACACTTTTGATTCTATGTTAAGATTCATGTAGAGAATGATTTGCAGTAAATTAACTGAAAGATTTCTTAAACTTGTTGAAGATAGTATTCAAATACTTAAAGCAGCAAGAAAAGTACAAAACATATGGTTAGTAAATAAAGCTGCATCAAAGTCTTTAGTCCTTTTCCCTATGCTTTTGGTGGTACTCTGGCAAGTCTTTTTCACGTAGAAGTGTTTTCTGTAGCAAAGGAAAGCCAGCTCATTTCAGTTCATCAGATAGTTTTAATTTCTTAGCAGGGAGTTTGTCATGTATCTAAATGTGTGCTAGCTTTCAGCTGTTTTTGTTTCACACCTTACTCAACCTAATTAGTCTGCAAAATTTGAGTCATGACTAAAATTTGTCAATTTTCCATAGTTCCTTCTGAACTTTTCACAGTTTTCATGTCATGTCAGCTTACATACTCCTGAAATACACTGGGTTTAGTAGGTGCTCCTCAAAAGTTTTCCTTTGCTATGGATTAAAATACTTGGTGTATTACCCAGTCTGTTGAAGCTTTCACCTTTAAATTTGGTTGAAACAAAATTTACATGTTGCAATGATTAAATATATTTGCTGTGGAGTAAGAGTTGTTTTCATGCCACGCTGCACATTTTGATTTTCTTTGAGCAGAAGAATATTTATTTTATTTACTATCTTTTCATGACACTTTTCAACTAGTTTGAAGTTCTATCCCCTGTAAAGATCAACGTTTTATGAACAATTAAAACAAAAAAAAACCAAGGAGGAGAGAGTTTACAGATGGAAGTGTATATGAAATCTCAATATATAACATAAACGTTAGAACTGTAAATATGCAAACATTTTCAGTGTTAAAATTTCCAAATTTTTTTAAACATACAAGAAAAAGTCACCATACTTTGAGTTTCAACTTTTAGATCAAAAATCTCCTTTTTTTTTTTTTTTTGTGGATTTCATAGTAAAAAAAAAAAACAAAAAACAACCAACCTTCAGATGTTGAGATAAGGAAAACAAGAGTAGGCTGCCTGTGTGCCAATGAGAAATTGTAATGAAATAGGAAGTGGAGAGACTGTCTTGCTTAGCAAAATTCTAAACCACATGAAAGACTTGTAGCAATACTAGCTGCAAGGCTTACGAAGTAATGGTAAGACAGCTTCTCTTATTCATATTACCAGCTTGCACATCTTTTAGGTGTGGTTGCTAAAAGTAGCCTAATATTCAGATGTAATACTTTGTAGAACTTACTACTCATGTTATGGCCACTGGGTGAAAATACCACTGATGACAGCTGCTGGAAGGAAGGACAAAGTAGCTCCTAAGCTAGCTGTTCAGGAGTCCTTTGCAAGCTCTACAAAGGAGTTCTTGTTTTATAGTTAGCTTTCATGCTCTTATTTTTTAAGAAAGAATATAAAAATGCTTGTTCAGTTTCAGTACTCTAGCACAAAAGCTGAATGTTTAATCTTTATAATGGTCTATTTTCCAGTAACATTTTCTTTAAAAAGAAACAAACAAAAAACCTCTAACAAAGAAAGTCAACATTTGAAATGAAAATCTCATATTTCTTATTGTTTTTACGCTACTGCAAAATTAAGATAAGGACACTCAGACTTTCCTGTTGGACAGTGCGTGTTTGTACACAAGACACAAATCAACTCGCTGTACAACAGATTAATCCTGGTTAATGCTACTGCAATAACTTTTAAAATGTGTTAAAGTAGTGCTACTTGATTCATCTTGAGATGGGGAAGAATGAGTGTTTGCTTTAGTATATGCACGTAGACTTACCAGAGCTCGGATTATTCACAACAGTTTTAAAACACTGTGGCCTGCTCACATGTTTGTGTGCTAAACTGTGTGTGTTTTGATGTAGAAATTGTCTTGTAAATCTAATGTTTAAAGTCCTTCATAGGTAAGTGCATTTTTAAGCAAAAAAAAAAAACACCCAACCATTATTTGAAACATAAGTGATCTTGAATAGTCTAACTACATATCTTCAGTAGTTCATAACTTTGAAATTCTTTAGTTTGATATGCTGTTATCCAGACTTAAATATTACATAAAAATTGTTAGACAGGATGAGTATTTATAGTTTGAATCTTATTAAGTCTTTTCTTTAGTTTTCTTGCTCTTTAGGATAGCTTCATAACACTGATGTATCCAACTGCTGAACTGGAAGGACGAAGTGTGACATTACCTACCACACACTACTTGCCTTGCCTTCTCTGTGAAACAGGAGAAACTAGGGGTGAGGCTTAGCTTTGTTGCAGCAGATTGTAGGAAGAAAATAGACCTGCTAAACACGTTTCCAGGCTTCATTTTGAATGAATGGGAGAATTAATTAAGCTGACTTGAGGAAAATTTTCTAGCGTGGGTTAATTAAGTTACTCATCTGTAGTAGTGTTCTGATGCGAAGAATGCTACACAGATCCTTATTGGTTTTAGAGTAGTAATGTTTCTAAGTGTAATGTTTCTAAGACTTTTGGGGTTTATCTTTCCCAGTATAACACCTTCCCTCTAATCATGAGAACCAATAGCTTTCTAGCATTAATTGCTGGCAACAGCTTGATTTTTACAGGGCAAGGATTATAATTATTAGCTGTGGTTGAAAATGCTTACCCTTCTCACCCTGGGGATCCAAGGTGTTGCTAGCAATTAGATGTACTTAGCTGTTCCCTTCCTCATGTAAACACTTGCAACCAGAAGTTACTACTACTACTTGCTTCTGTGCCCCGGAGGAACTAAGCTCTTTGAGTATTGCCTTGTAATAACTTTATTTTGTCATTTTTTCCTCTTAAACTACAATATAAAATGTTACCTTATTTTTCATTTTTAAGCAAGGGTGATGTTTTATTGACCTTCTGCAACTCTTTTGGAATATGTAACCATCTTGAGCGCTGCAAACTAGTTTGAGAAATGTATGCTTAGAGATTAGGTATTCAGATGCTATAGCCACCTTCCTAAAAGGGAAAAAAAAAAAAAAAAAAAAAAAGTGCTGAGATGTCTCTTTGTTTGTATGGTTGAACAGATTTGTTTGTCTTTTACATTACAGAAGGAGTTTATGAAAGACAAAAGTGCAATTTCTTTTGTAACTTTCCAAAAGAGTTGTCCCCATGCCAATAAATTGGGCTTGTTTGTGTAGGTGGTTATGCCTCTGTTTTTCAGATAGATGCATCAGTTTGGAAATGATTGGTGCATGTTGATTTCTAAGGTGCAGTGCTCTGTTTCTGTTTTATTAATTGCCCTGTGTAGGAGGCAGGGATATAGAAAACTTGATATTCTTTTCCAAACTGCTCAGTCTCTTGTTCTTTCATTTCTATAGAATCTCTCCTTTTGGCAGACGGTTTGTTTTCTACTCTTATATAAGCTCAGATTGAGTTTCTGATTTGGATGCCATTGTTCTTATTGAAAATCATTACAATTTAGAATGATTTCAGTGCAAACAGTTTTTTTCCAAATGTTAATGCTGTATTGTCCATCTTTTAATGTCTTTCTGTAATTGTAATCTTCTGGCCTTGTAATCTTCTGATAATGTTTTGTAATGGATAATGAAAGCAATCTTCAATTTTATCTCATTCAATCACCCTTTGACTTTTTACTTTTTTCAGTAAGGCTGTGGACTAGCAGCGTGAGAACTCACATTTGCTTAATATTGCTTTATGGCATAGAATTAACTGTTGTTTCTCTCTCAGCCTCCAGTGTTCCTTCAAAGCCTAAAATAGTTTCATTCTCTTGCCAGGAATTTGTATTCCATTGAAAAGGAAATAATCTCCTTCCACATTGGCTCAGTTCCTCTTTTGTTTTGGTTCTCCTTTTCCAAATGTTTATAGATCACCTTTTAATACTAAGAAGTCAGAAACCCTTTGTGAATAGGAATGTGATGGAGCACTGCACTGTAGTCCTAAAATCTGGATCAGACGGTGCCTTGCACTTGAGAGAACGTTGAGAGAGATGGAGAAGCTGGTGTAAACATCAGGAGATTTCCTTCATGATGCTATTATTTCCAAAAGCCATCCTAAGAAAATAACATACTATACTCTAGTCTCCCTCTAACGTTCAGTATTATTTGTATATCTTGTTTCTCAGATGTTAAAATTTTTACCATTCAAGATATTACTAGTCTTCTTTTAATTACTAAGATGGCAAGTTGTTGAACAGTGGAGTGATCCTCCCCATAAACAACCTATATCTAGCTCTACTGCAATCAGTTTACATTTGAATTATGAGAGGATGTTGTACTTACCCATCACAATTTACCAAATTTCTTATTGTAACTGAAATTCAGTCCTGTTAATTGTTATGGAAATTGATTAACTTGATCTTTGTTCAGTTTATTGCCTCTGTAGCTCGTGGTCAGTGTTGGGCTTCTTGTTCTTTTATGGGCAGATGAGCTATTGGTGGCTTGTCCCAGCATTAATTCTTTCCAAAGCTTTCAGCCCAAAAGGCTTCAGAGAATTAAACCAGTAGATCAGTTTTGGGTTTTCAGCCATTTCATGCTAGTCATGTCCTGTATTTTATATAGGTTGCTCTGAAAGTAATGCATCCTATTTTTTCCATGAAAATTACAACAGATACAAAGAGCACAATAACACTATCTGATAGAGCAAATTCTAAACTACAAAACACTATCTTTCAGCATAGTCACTATCATTAGATGTATGTTTTCCCTGTCAAGAATCAAGAGCCTGCATGGTGTGCTTTTTAAAAATTAAAAAAATAAAAATAAAGAACAAGATCTGCCTGGCCATCTGGAATGGTGCTTGTCTTTTGTGTTGCTTCTAAAATGCACCACTCATCACTTCACTGTGCTCATATCTCCTGTTTGGTCTCCATAAACGTTGAACAAGCATCAGTGAATGCCAGTGGGTGCCATTTTTTCCACGTGGAGGAATTCAGTGACACACTTTTGCTTCATATTCTCTTCCATGTTCTATGCCGTTTTGTCAGACTGCTCCTCTGCTGCCATCTGTTGCACAGTAACAAAATGTAATGCAATATTGATGGGAAGGTTTTACTGCCATACCAACATCATCAGTCTCTGATGTTGTGGACCAGTGAAATAACATAAGAAAGCATTACTTCCAGAGCAGACCTTGTTTAATTTGTATGGAAAACTTTTCCAATTAAAAATGTCATCTTGTTTCCTGAAAAACTGTTTTTAAAATGCATTACCAGAGTACTTCTTGCTAAGATTTCTAAGTTGCCAGATGAAATAGATACCTGAATAAAGGTAAGTTAAGCTCTCATTAATGAAAAGATATATCTAGATGATGATAGTTGCACTCTTATGTCAAAAAGCAGAAGAAAAACAAACCAGCCCTTGCAATTCAGTCTAATTTTTGCTCTAATATATATATTTAGACCAAGATTTTGTTTGTGTATGTGTTCTGAAATATTTCTTCTGGTTGTATTTACTGTTGAAGAACGTACACATTGGTTTGAAAGCCTAGAGAAACTTGGAGAACTTATCTACTTCACCTGCTTAAAAGTCTTTAACAGATTTTTTTTTTTTCCAGTGTGTTTTGAATATAATGTTCATCTCATGCATTTTAGGTAGTTTCATGTGTAGAGATCATTGTAAATATGATACGAGTTTAACTCCTGCTAAGGCTTAAGTATCTCCTGCAACTTCATAAGTTATGTTTTGTTTTCTCAAGTTTAAGTCAGTTTCCTATCCATTTGTTGTGGTGGTTTTCATTTCTCAGAGGAGAGGCAGTAGCTGAAGTTAGTTCTTTGTATGTGAACTTGAGTATAAATGTTTTTATCATTGAGTTCCTGTGTCATTAGTTGTACCTGTTTTTGTTGATTTGTTGTTGTTGTTGTTGTTCTTGAAATCTTCAGGAGACAAGTAGTCATGGCAAATTTTAACTTAAAAAGAAGCATGTAAAAGTCAGTGATAACTTGTTTTTTGTTAAAAAAAAAAAAATCTCGAAGGAAGAATTAGAGTTCTGTATTATGATGTGGTTGAAGGTATCTGTCAGAAATACAGATTTCTTTTTAAATAACTTACTTTACAGAATTTCTGTGTGTATATATGTGATATTTATATATATATGTATATATGTACACACTCATTTCAGTGGCTGACGCTTGGTGGAAAGATTTGCATATGAATAATTGATCCCTGAAGTTGTGTGGTTTATTCTTCTCATTTTTTAAAATGTTTATTACAACTAAATAGTAAGGATTGAAAGGAAACAGTCTCAGAAAAATTACAAATTTTACTTGCAAATTGTTTCCTATTCCACCAATCCAGAAATGATATCACAGTGTAACACCTAAGGTAGTGTAGCTTTAGATGAGGGTTGTTAGGAGTGGCCTGGTTTCTCTCCTTCTTTTTCGTAGCCCAGGAAGTATCGACTGGGGATGCTGGATGAGAGGATAGTTCCGGTGGGATCAAAAGCAAGAAAATCAAAGAACCCTATTGGCTGTCTGACTGACAGGTGTAAAACAGGAGTACCCATCAATATGGTTTGGTGGAACAGAGTCACAGAAAACAATTTACAGGTAAAATATTTTTTTTTTACTAGTCACTTTTTCTGTATTTTGGATGCTTTATTTTAAATTCTAGAAAATGTTAGAAACAGTTACTCTAAATAAGGGTTGGAATAGAATGAAATGGTTTCCAAGCAGGCATAGTGACCCCTTCAGGGAGAGTGACGCAGGTTTTATTTTATTCTCTTCACCTGTCCCTGTGTTATGTTATAATCCATGGAGGAGAAGCAAAAATAACAATTAAATGTATTTTAAAAGCAGACAAATGCAGCCACTTACTTCCTGTTTCAGGAAGTTTCACTGTGAAAATTTGAGACCTTTGTTAAAATGATTGACAGAATGAAACAAAAATCCTTTAGTGCAGAATGTAACTATTGTGACCAGAAAGTGTAAATATCTGTGGTTGAAATAGTTTTTCAGCTTTTGTGTTGAAAACTCTAGATTGCATTCTTTAGTCTCCTCAAGAGCTGGACTTGAGCAAATCTTATTTGGAAGCAGCAGGTTATTCTTGAGATGATAATGAAGAATAATTCTTTTCTGGGATGAATCTGCACAGTGTCCCTTGAGACAGGCTTTAGTTGAAAGTTATTATAGTTGTTGTAACTACAACACTCCTACTACAACTATTTTGCACTGAAGTGGTGCTTTTGATTTTTCAGAGATGATTACTTGAGTCTTTGTGTAAGTTTGTTTTCTATTTTTTGTGGTTTTGAGTGATTGGAATAGGTAAATCAGCAACAGACTTGCTGATAACTAGGGTGTGTGGCCTCTGAAACTTCTTTCAATTTGCTAAATCTTTGTCATTTTAGGGTTGATGTGAAGCTCACACTGGAGCCCTGTAATGCCAGTATTAGTTTTGCGTTACTTAATGGTTGGATACTTATTTTTACTATTGAGATTGGGAATGATTAGCAGTTTGCTGCATGCAAACAGATACTACTTTGTGCAACCGCTTGGCCGTAAGTCTTGTCTTGTCCCTTTTGCTGCTGGAGAAAAATGGTAGAAAATGATGAAGCATTGGTAGAACAGCCAAGTAAGGCTACAGAGGAATGGTTGGAGCCCGTGAAGCACTACTTTTCTTAAGTGAAAGAAGACTGACAGATTGATTTACCTGTGTTTATCTAAAGAGCTGCCAATCTTAAGTAGGAAAGATGCTGGAACAGGTTGACTTGACAGGTTGTGGATGCTCCATCACTAAAGGTATTCAAAGCCAGATTGGATGGGGCCCTGGGCAGCCTAAACTAGTGGGTGGCAATCCTGCCCATAGCAAAGGGGGTTGGATGTAGATGATCTTCAAGATTCCTCCAGCTTGAGCCAGTCTGTGATTCTGTATGTGTGATTTGCCCTGAGAAGACAGAAAGAAAATTGGTTTTCAGACATCAAGTAGATGTTGAAAGTTACATAAATAACTAATATAGAATCTTATCTTATAGGTTTATGGAGCAATTACGTAGTTTACTGTGGAGATTTGGGGCTTTAAGTAGCATGTTTGTGCACATCTGTTGGAAATAAAGAGATGCTTCAGCTCAAGGAAATAGGGAAGAGAATGCATAGTAATAATGGTGTTTGGCAAAAGTGAATGGAAAAAGGTGTGGAACGCAGGCTATAGATGAGATTATGAGGATATGTAAAACTTTATGTGGATGAATAACTAAATTTTACTTTGACATTATTGTTCTGATCATTGTAAGCCTTTGTATTCACATGAACATTTTCTGAGTCCCTGCAAAATCAAAGCTCAAGAATGTTAAAAATTTGAAATGTTACTTGTAAAATAGCAAAAAAAAACAAAAAACAAAACAAAACAAAACAAAAAAACCTCCAAAAAGTAAACTACAATAGCTGCATACTGAGATTTCGGATTGTCCTGAAGTAGAAAAACAGTCTCGCAGAATCCATGTCTAGCATTGGTCTCTCCAGTATTTTGAAAAAACAAGCTGTTCAGAGTATTTTGTGGGTGTGAATATAGATCATACCAACTAAATCTAGGCTGATGGTGAGTGCTAAGCAATCATAAATAGAAAAGTTAAAATGTAGTGAATGCAACTATTCGAGGGTGTTTTCTTCTTCATTAATATGAGAAAGTAAATTAACATCTCAAAATTGAATGGTCTGCTCTTCTAAATGTGTGATTTAAGATGTGGGAAGGCACTGTTTCACAGTGCAATGTTAAGTGTTGTTTTTAAAGGTATGGAGATTCTTGTCTGAAAATGAGTGGTTTACCAAACGAGGTAGTTCTCAAGGTGTACTGTAAAACAGTATAGTTGTTTCTCAGGCATGGCTATGAATTTTTAATTCAGATCTGTTTACTTTTTTTTTTTTTTTTTTTTTTTTTTTTTTTTACTTTAATCATATAAGCATAACACAGTATTTAAAAGTGGAGTTCAGAATGAATGGTGTTTCTGGTTCTGCATTTAAAAATAGATAAGGCAAAAGACAAAAACCATTCCTTAGTGGTATGTTCTGCCCTGTGTTTGGAAACTAGAGCAGTGCCATGAGATGCATATTGTATTATCAGAGTAGGTATAAAATAGCAGGAGTGGATTCAACTTTTGCTTTTGTTATACAAATCATTTGTTAAGCACCATGAATAGCTGATTTTTTTTTTTTTTTTTTTTTTTTTTTTTTTTTGCTGCTTGAGTTGAATACAATTTTATAAATAACTTTAAAAGTATTTTGCATCACAAGCATAGGCTTCTAAAAGTTTATAGTTTTAACAATGCTCTTTAAAAATACTCTACAGTATTTTACTAAAATGTGTAACAAACACGTTTTGTCCATGCTAAACTCAGCAAAATTGGTTGGCTTTAGCAAAACTGTCTCTAACTTTTGAAGAGCAGAATTGGAACCTAGCTAGTAATGTTGGTGAATGAAATTTTTAGATTTAACTGTGTGGGTAATGTGATGGTGTGTTACAATATCTGAAATGAGGAAGCATATTACACAAATTCAGTAGTGAGAGGGAAGTTCAAGTCCTTAGTAACCTCCAGCATGTGATGGGCTGCTCTGACATTCCAGAATGTGTCCTTTTCTGATGTCATGGGCATCAAGGAATCCTTATGGAGAGAGAGGATTGCTGCAATGCTCTCTGCGTAGACTGAAGCTACTTCTATTGCACATCTGCCCATTCAAAAAACAACACCAAAGAACACTTTTGCATGTTTTTGAATTAAGAAAACATTCTGAGATCTATGCCACATAGTAGGCTGGCAGAGAACTGCCCTGCTCATAGCTTGGGTACAGTTCAGTGGTGGTTTTCTGTAACCATTACAGGATTATGCAATTCTGGATGTCAGAACAGATCAACATGAATTGGGAGGTGAAGGACAACATAAAAAGAGGACAAAAAGGCTTGTTTCCAGTTTCTAGCATGGTAAGTACATTAGCATATTCTTCTGAAATGAAATTTGCCTACATTTTGCTTCAGGTAGCTGCCTTTTGTAGTGCAACTAGAAACAACTGAGTGATGTTACAGCCACAGAAATGGGCTGGAGCTCAGCTGGTGGGAACTGAACTGGAAATGAGGGAAAAGGGCAGTCCACTACTGCTGTGGGCTCCCTGCACAACCTTTGAAATGTCTTGGTCTCAGATCCCTCCTGTTTTTACAGGGTGTCTCTTTCCTTCATGGCACTTTGAGGAGTAGTTTATGAATGAATGCACTGGAGCCTTAGGAGCTCATCATAGAGGAGCGCAGAGAAAAATTATATGTATTGGAATTGATAGTCAATGAAACAGGAATTGTCATCTTCGTAGACTGCAGAAATCTGATATGTAAAACTCCAAAACATATGGTGAAGTTACAGTGCTGCTGTGCTGTTCTGTCAGCGTTGGTGAGAAGCTTCATTCTCTACCCTTCTCTATCAGTGTATGCTTTGCTTTCATCTTCAGTCTCCTTTAAGGATTCTTGAATTATTTTCCTTTAGTACCCACAGAAGATTGTTGTTTCTCTCCCCCCACTAGTAGATTTTATTTTTTTTAAGTGCTTCAAACGTGAATGAAACAAAATGATTGAAATGAAAACGAATCATTTTTGTGCGTGCCTCTCTGTAGGACGTGCACCTGAAGCTGGAAGGTGCAGTCTTTCCCTTCTTGCATAATGCACAGTGCTGGCTGCTTCTTGTTTTTGTTTTTCTTTTATTTTTTACATCAGCTTAATACGTAATTCATTACATGTCCTCCGAGTCCTCTGTGCATATCCTTTCATTGAATTACTCACAACATTTAAGTCTTCAGTACCAATTTTCTCTTTCACAAGTCCTGGTTTTCTCAGACTTAAAACTTTAAGCCTAGTCTAGCATGAAGAAATTTGTTATTATTTCTTCATCTTAATGTAACTAAGTGAAATCTGTCATAAAACTGAGCATGTAGGGAATTTAAGCATAATGCTGAATGATGAAAATTAATTAGGTATAGGTTATCTTTGTTCTTATCAAGATGTAAGAATTTTTATTCACTCTCCTCTTGAAGCTTGGTAGTAAGATTCTATCAGGAAAACTGTAAAAAATGTTCAGTATAATTTAAAGCTTGTTCATCCTTTAGACTGATATTTTCAAGTCTACTGCTGATTGTAATGTAAAACTAAGACTAGAATTTAAACTTCTAGTGTCAGAGTGGGATATCCTTCAGGACCAGGAATGTCACTTTGTTGGCCATTAAGAACAATGCTTCCTGGTTTTTGCATGTTTATGTGTTCATTGGTACAAAATGTTGTCTACGGTGTTTGAGAAGTATTGAAAAGATTGAACAGTTAACTTGGTTATATTCCATCCTCTAAATGCTATAGATGTATTTGGGATATGCTTTATTCTGTTGGGAGCACAGCTCAGGAAAATGTGGTTTAGTTCACATGAAAACTTGTATGCATTTAGAAAAGTTCTTTAAGAGCTGCAACTGCAAATAAACACGACGTGCATCAAAACATGGCCTAGGGCATAAGCTTCAAATTTTGATAAAGCATTTCTATTTTTGATCACAAATTATTAAAATTTTATTGTACTGCTTGGATTATTTTCTTTTGGATGGTGGCTCTGAAACTCAGATATTTTTTTCTGTATTTAGAAGACAGTTTGAATGTGGAAAATTTTTACATTTTTTACAATAAGTTAATTTTTAAACAATTTATTGAATAATGGAAAAAGTTTTGGGTTACAACTTTGTAACTTAACGGAGAAATAAACAGGCTTTTCTACTGTACAAATGCTGTATAAATCAAAGCTGTTTTCAATGAGAACATTTATATAAATAGTTTTGTAGATATGTCAGTCTTATCTGGCAATGTTTCTGATGCTGAATTGTGACACTAAATAATGCAACACAAACTGAATTTCCATCAGATTTCTGAACCACAGTTGCTAGATTCTACAGCATAATCCAGCCTGCTCAGGTGGATGCCTAGATTTCACTCTTCAATATGAATACACAAAGACATTCCAATAGGGTGAGGAAGGCAGTTGTTCCTATCAACTCTGCCCTCATGAGTCCACACCTGCAGTAGTGTGTCTAGGCCTGGGGTTCCTAGCATAGGAAGGATGCAGGGCTGTTGGAGAGCATCCTGAGGAGGGTTATGAAGATGAACACCTCTCTTATGAACAAAGGCTGAGGGAGCTGGGCTTGTTCAGCTTGGAGAAGGCTCTGGGGAGACCTCGTTACAAAGGGAGCTTGTGAAAAATATAGACTTTTTACATGGCCTGCTAATGACAGGACAAGGGGGAATGTCTTTAAACTAAAAGATGGAAGATTAGGTTATATGTTAGGAGAAATTTTTTCCCTTAGAGAGTGATGAGGCACTGGCACAGGTTGTCCAGAGAAGCTGTGGAGGTCCCATTCATGGAGGTGTTGAAGGCTGGGTTGAATGGGACCCTTGGCAGCCTGAGCTGCTGCATGGCAGCCAGCCCACAGCAGGGAGTTGGGGCTGGGTGGTTGTAAGGTCCCTTCCAAGCCAAATCTTTCTATGATCTGCCACTTACAGTTCTCAAGTCCTTCCACTGTAAAATGATGAAGAATATCTAGGTGACTGTTCTACAGAACAAAACTGCAAGTGTGTATGAGCACTTAACTGAATGTGTTTAGAATTAAGAAGTTCTGTCCTATAGGCATCAATTGAATTGATTTAGTGAAAGTAGCCAGAGTTGGTATGCTTGGGATCTTGGAAACTCTCTCAGTTGCTCCATTAAAGGCTGAGAATGTTTTCCAGCAGGTGACTTTTTTCTCCACTTGCATTTTCCGCATTGTTTACCATCTCCTGCCCCTGTTTTTAGTTGATGAGTTTTTTTTGTACGTGGTAGATCTGTGGATGTTCCAGGGCTAGTTTTAACAGCGAAAATCTTAGGTTTCATATAATTGTTTGAACTCTCATGTTTTTGATAAGATTCTGTCCTTTGCTGTTGCAATTGCTGTGTTAGATGAATTTTCAGTGTGTCACTGTGTGGACAAATTATACTCAACTCTGTCACTTCTGTCATTTTTCTCCAGTTTCAGTGTAGAATTGTCTGAATTGTTGCACAGCAGATTTTTTTTTTTCCCCAAGGAGTGTAATTCTCTTAATTATCTGAAGTTTAAGTACAGGAATAAGTCCAGAATATTAGCTTTTGATTTTAAACATATTAGTTGCTTGGTTACATTTCTGGGTTGTACAAATCCACGTGCCTTCTTTTTCTGTGGCTTCATTTGTCTAAACCTTTGCAAGCTTTTCTTAAGTCCTTTTTTTTTTTTTTTTTTTTTTAAAGGCTTCTATGAACTTTTTGTCTGTGTAACTCCTAAGTGTTTTAATTCACTAGTCTGCATAATTGGTTACGGCAATTCTTTAATATTCAGACAAACGCGCATTTAGAATGACCATTATGTGACATAATGAGGTGGCCAATGGTTGTGTGGCCCAAGGCAAAACATTCTTACTATTTGCTTTTAAACCTGAGCATCCTCTTCAGTTTTACAGATTTTAGAATCCTCTTACTTTTTCAATTATTTGAAATACATTAGTATTACATTTAATGTCCTTTTGAAATGAAGATATTTGAAAGTACTTTTTTGTGGTTTTTTTTTCCTGCACTAAATTAGTGTTTCGTAATCCCACTTTTCTAATTTGGCACTGACTTAAGTTCTGACTTAAGTTGGTGAAAATAGAAGTTTTTTTTAGTTGCTTTAAATCTGCTTAAAACCATGTTGATCCAGTACCATTTGCTTTAGAAAACCACCGTGGATTATTTTAGCAGCATCCTTTGTCTACCTAAAATGATTACTGTCTTCTACTTTACCTTGTTTTGTTAAGGTGGTTTTGAGAGGAATGCTTAAAGTGACCTTGTAAACTGAACTTTGATGTTTAATACTTAATTACAAAACAATTTTCATGTAATGTTTTATTTCTTGTCTTCTATTTTCTTCCATTAATGTCTAGTGTAACTTGCTGTTCAGTACTAAGATTTTTGCCTTCTGAGCTGTAATTTTTTTCCCCTGAAGTCCTCATGCCTCCTCTCCCTGCCCAACCCTCCCCCCCAAAAAAAAACCCAACAAAAATCATGCACAGATTTTAAGAGATATCGAAAGTTTGTTCTATTTTTTATGTATTCATTAGTAAATAATGAATGTTTGACATTTACTTTTTTTGTTTCTGCTGTACCAAATTTAAGCTCGTTATTAAAGGTGTTATATAAGTGAAATATGTCATTAAAACAGAGGTTCTTTTCATAGAATAGGAACATGGTGGGTTCTTCTATTGCTTTAAGTTGGAATTGCTACTTACTTTTCAATGGATTTTCTAAAGTCACTTAAGGACAGTCTGCAGTAGTGGTGAGGCCTTCTCACTGTCAAATCAGTTCTCCAACTTTATTGTATAATGCTATTGGAAAGCCTTTTTGCAAAGTGTTTGTGTTAAATCAGTTCTTCATATGGAAGTCTTGCTAACTCTACTTGACATGTAATATAGAAAAACATTTATAACCTTTCATGCAGACCAGCTTCCTGTGTCTGCATTTCTTGTCAGCAAGTTGTATGTAGTTTAAATATCCTCTGCATTCAGTAGGCCTGCCTAGAAAGTGTTTTCTACCAAGTAGGCATTGTCTATCTATTCATGTTTAAAATAAACATTTAATTTACATTTGTTTTCATACAGACACCAAACCCCACTGCAAATGAATTTATTCCTAAAGGAGGATCAACCTCCAGGCTGAGTAGTGTATCCCAGTCAAGTATGTCTGCCTTCTCTCAAGCCTTGTTCTCTCATCCCTCCATGGGAAATCCTGCTGCTGCTGGGCTAGCACCAGGTAAGTTGAGAGTAATGATTTACAGTACAGTTGCTTCTTTTAACTTTTAAGTACGCTGAAAATAATCTTGTCAAACTTATAATCAGGTTTATAGTGTGTAAGTCTGGCTACCTTCTACTTTTGCTCTTAATTTTGAGCAAGTCTTTGGGCATATGAAAGTGAAAGGAACTTGAGATTAATCTAGTAGAATGAAACTGAAGAAGCTGACAGGATAAGGGGAAATGTTTCAAACTAAAGGAGGGGGGATTTAGACTGGATATAAGGAAGAAGTTTTCTACGGTGAGGGTGGTGAGGCACTGGCAGAGGTTGTCAAGAGAGCTGCTGGATGCCCTGTCTCTAGAGATGTTCAAAGGCAGGCTGAACAGGGTTCTGAGCAACATGATGGAGCTGTAGGCATCCCTACAGTCGTTGCAGGGGGGTTGGACTAGATGACCTTTAAGGGTCCTGACTCAAATGATTCTGTGATTCTATGAAAATCAAACTGCAGACTCTGAAATTCATTTGGGCACAGCAGCACTGAGATTACCTCAGACTAATTTACTATTCATTTTTGGAGGAAAAGAGGTGCTGAATTATAACACACTCTACTCTATGCTGTCCATGATAGAGCAATACCTGGCATAGCTTTAAACTACCTCTGGTCTAGAGACAGGCTGCAGAGAATATGTATTACCATGCATTGGTCTGCCCTACTGATTTATTTCTAGAGGATGTAAATTAGACAATTATTTTCAGTGTTACTGATATACATGTGGGCTTAAATTTTGCTCAATAATAAAAATAGAATATTAGCTTATACCAAAATCACTTGCCTTGCAAAGTATCCATTAACTCTTACTTGTATCTACCATATCATTGTTATGTCACTTTCAATATCAACTTCTGTGTATAGAATTTTGACAATTTTTTTTTTAAGTTCAAATTGTCCATGGATCTGTTAACTGCTTAAGATCAGAAATTCCTAATATTTACTCTGTAGAAAAATGAAATAGTTGCAAGATGCGAAGATGAGCAGAGCTGGATGTTACATATTTCAGACTCTCTAGCAAACTTCTTTATGTTCTTAAACCTGTGGCAAGGAACAAAAAGCATTAGGTAACTACCAAAATTAAAAGGGCAAATATTGTAACTTTTTCGTTTTTAAAACTAGTACTGACAATTGCCCTCCATGCAATGGAACTTCAGGCTTTCCTGATAATAAGGAATAAAAATCAGTGTCAGTATCACATGAGTCAGCATTTAAATAGTGCAGTGGTACAACAATTGAAACAGACTAGGAAGGTGATTGATACTTCTGCTGAACAAATGAATATGATGCAGTACTGTGTCTGATTTCATACTGTATTGTGCTGTGCAGTCTTATTGGAAAACTGTTGTGTTTATATGCCTCTCAGCCTTATCACCTGGATTGAAAAGTATATAAAGGATTTAATAGAATACAGTAAAATGGTCCACTTTTGGAAAGTGTCCAGTGGGATCTCAGAGGGATCCTTCACAGTCCAATTTCTTTACTATCTGTAAGTAATACTTGAAAGGATAAGTAATGCTGTTGATGAAAGAAGTTCTTACAACAGTTTGAGGTCCTTGAAATGCACATGCCAATACGGAAAATGATCTAGGCTCAAATACTAATGTTTCCTCAGGAGAAGAGGGGTGGGGGAATCCTTGTAAAAGCTAACTTCAGGCAAGATTGGCTTGTATTCTTGTTATTTTTGTATAGTTGCCAAGAATATGAGTTTAAAGCCAGGGGTCTGAGTCGGGTGCTTTGAATTTTTGTAGAAGCTTCTTTCTCTACGCTGAGTGCAGAATGTTCTGAACTTAAGTATGCAGTGTAAATAATATCCACAGATATTTGTTTTTATTTAAGAGATTTAGCTCTCAGTAGTATATACCCTCCAGAAAACAAAATAAAACAAAAAACCACAAAACCCCCAATTTTTGCTACTTTAAGGTGACTTAGTCCTTTCAGAAGATCACCTCCTAAGTTCTTAAATAAGAAAGTGGTATTTATGCATGGGGAAATGTCACCATCTATGTCATAATAGATAACAAAATACAGAATTAAAGATGTTTGGAGATTGCCATTGGAGTGCATGTTATTGGTTGAGTTTGATTTTGCTTACCAGTGTAAAGAGTTTGCAAGAGTTCTTTAAATAAAGAGAAGTCTCCTTCCAGTTAAATTGTGTATATTCTCCAGTGGAATATAACTTTCATGAAACATGAAACAAGACTCCAGCTTTTGCATGAAATTTCTTCCTGTTTTTTGTAAGGAATTAATATTTTTCTTTAAATAAGGAAATGTAGTAGGAATAACTTTTTTAGAAGAGCCATAGTTTAATTCTATTAAGTCTAAGTTTAAGTCTATTACAAAGTAGAGAACAATTCTTTGATTTCCCTCTTGAGGATGGAAAAATTTTAAATTATCTCATCTATCTAATCTGAGACCTCCCTAAAGGTAGGTGTAAAACAAAAACATTTTTGGCACCCTAGTATTTTATAGGTAACTCTTCACAAAATTGATTGTCTTTTGAAAATATTTTTTCCACCTGTCTTGTTAAGTGGAAAAAATACACTGCAGGAATACTGTAGGAAGTGACAACCAGAAGCTAACCTATTATATCCACACCTGAACACATCCATTAGGACAGAGCACATAAGAAGGCTACCCCTACTTCTACACGTGTATCATCGCATTTCTTAGATAAGTGCTTTCAAGTATATCTCAACAATCAGTCTTCATCTCAGTCTCCAGCTTTTAATAGAATACTAAAACAGTGAAATAAAATGCCACTGAGATAACTGTCTCCCAACCTTTCCTTAAGTTCCCTCTTTCTTCAGTCTCAATGAAAATTCAAAAGTAAAAAACGTTGCGAGAAGAGAAAATGCAACAATAGAGAGGGCTAGCTTAATTCTTCTGTGCAAATAATCTTTCTCTATGTCAACAGTCGAACAGCAGGGTTACAGGTACATGTAGGTAACCTGTGCTATCACAGTCAATCTGGCAAACAGTTGGAAAACCTACAACCATTTCCATGTTGGTGTGATACCTTGATGTCATTTTTTAAAGTTTGAAGCAAGAGGAGCTCTTTTTTTCCTAGCAGCTTGCCTTTTAAGGTAGTATTTACTCTCTTTTTAAGATTCACTAACAGAAGGAATTGAGGGCCATCTAGTAGTATAATAGACTCAGGAAGGACAATTTGACATGCCTGTTTTAGTGTTTGACCTAGTAATCCTATTGGCATTTGAATTTTGATGTAGGGAACTTTAAAGTCATACAGAAAGCTTAAAAATGTTACTTTTTTGGTCAGGGTCATGGTGCAATTATATAAAATACAATTTTAATTAGAAATATAATTGTAATTATATTAAATCCTCTTTTTTGTTATATATTCATGATTATATACTTACATAAAAACGCGCTATTGAAGTAAGTCAGCTGATCTAATTCCATTGAGGTGTTCTCCACATTGACCACAATTTTACCATTGTGCTCAGTACTGTCTTTTTCCTTCAGCGTGAGTCAGTAGGAATATGTGTTTACCTTTTAATGCAGCCATTTTCATTTTCTTTCCTGCAGTAATTTCCACCTGCTGCCTTCCCTGGGTGTTTAGATTGTGCTCTGCTATCTCATCCTGTTTTGTTTTGGTTAAATATTAATATAAATAAGGTTTTAACTGGTTGAAATCCTCATGAAGCTGATGAGATCTGCTTGAGTTTGTGCACCTTAATTATTATTTCCATAAATATTTAGCTCTGCATCAGCTCCACTATAAGATTTTGTTGTGTGTGTGACTTAAACGGGTTTTAATTGTTAATACTTATGTACTCAGACTGCAGAATTTTATGCAGGTCTCTCAAAGATACCTATCATCTTGGATATTTGCTGCCTCTGCCTGCTGAGACCTACCACAGTACTAAATAGCAGCAAACTTCTTGTAACCCATGCAGTGGTGTTCTAGTAGCATGAAAATGAAATTTAATCAATTTTGTTTCATATCTTGAACAGATTATGTGTGTTGGCAAATGAATAGCCCATATGTTCTGTCTGCCAGATGACTTTTGTTAAACTTTCAAGTTCCTTCTGAAATGACATTTATCAAGAGATCAGAAGGGCATTTGAAAGGATTCCTGTAACTGATCATCTCCCTTTCATTCCATTAATGCTCAAAGACATAAAGGGTTTATATTTGTAACTATGCTTCAGCAGGAATACATTTTAAGAAACTAAGTTTCAGAGTTGAAAAAATGTTTGAAATTGTATCTGTAAGAACTGCCTATATTAGTTGCTCAAGAAAAAAATCTTTCAGCAGAAGTTTGAAAGGGATGACTAATATACATATGACTCAAAGAAGCAAATGTACAGTCCAATCTGAATGGAGCAACAGAAAACTTCAGAAGTGCTTCCCTTTGTATTAGTTGAAACACCACGATAACGGGTATCTTCTGCTAGTGATGTTACAAGTTTTCTAAAGGGTAGTCTCCTCAGCAGATCATAAACTATTATAAATAGGTGTACCTGAGAATTTGTTTATAGTATAACTCTTGAAAGATACAACCAAACAAATTTTTGTTGATTAAAATTATGTACATAGTGCAGGTTGCCCTTTTTTCCCCCTTACTGACACACTGTGTTTAGAATCTAAACTGAAGCTTCAGTTTAGTTGCCTGCCTTTCACTAAACTTACTGTAAACAGCAATCAAGAGAATAACTTTGAGAAAATTTTCAAATGCCTGTATGAATACCTTGCTGATCTCATTCTGGGAAGTTACCTATCCCTACATATCAAATAGTTCTTGAAAAGACTGGATTTTTATTTGGTTATGACAGGAGAATAGGTTTCTCTGAAATGATTAGTAGTAGTTTATTTCTTATTGCTTATTTGTGTTCTGTAATCATCGGAGAGCTAACTCATAATAGTCATTCCTCGTTGTACTTCTAGTGGCAGGAACATGTAGTTGGGATAAATGAGTTATAGCTTGGCAAGCTTCACTGACTGTTCCTCTGACTTATGTAAACATTCACTTACCACAAAGTTATTAATATTTTTTCCATATAGTTTAATAAACTTTCTTCTTCTAGACAAAGCATGAATTCAGTTCATCTCTCCTCTTTCTACCTATATTTTTCCAGTTCTTAATATGAAGGCTGTAAATTCTCAAACCTTTTCTCTCTGAACTGAAAGACTTCTCAAGGAAATGTCTATTCCAATCTTGATGTTAATGTTTTACCTTTAACTCTTCATAAAAATGTGAACATCCTTAAGCCTCTCATCTGCTTGGAATATTATTCAGTTCTGAAGTGTGTGTAGTAAAGGATTTTTTCAAATTAAAATAAAAAAGAAAGCAACAACAAAGATTTGATTGAGAATATGTTCTTCTTTTCTCTAAGGAATGTCACTATCAGCGGGATCTTCTCCTCTTCATTCCCCCAAAATAACTCCTCATACATCTCCTGCTCCTCGACGAAGAAGTCATACTCCTAACCCAGCAAACTATATGGTGCCTACTAGTGCCTCTGCTTCTGTTGCTAACGCTGTCTCTCAGCCTCCATCTACTGGCCAGGTGATCCAGAAGGAAACAGTGGGTGGAACAACATACTTCTATACTGATACAACTCCAGCACCTCTCACAGGAATGGTATGTTTGGTTTTAGTGCAAAAGTACATGAAATTTACAAAGACAGAATTGGTTAATGCTATACTAGTTATTTGTAATTTTCTGAAACACTTTTTCTATGTGAAGATTTAGCCTTTTCAATGTTGTGATTGTTTTCCAAGACCACTGAAATCTAAAGACTGAAGATTTTTTGTTCTACATTTACCTCTTTACCAACATATTTTGTATTTTTTAAAATGCAAAATTAGAGAACATTTTATGTATGTCTCAGTGAATACATACATAGAAAATATCAATGATTATTTCAAATTGCTTTCATGTTTGATAGGTTAAAGAAATGTTGCATTTATAGTGAAGGGGAAAAGACAGAAAAAAAATGTGAAGTATGTACTTACCAATGATTTCAAAGGCACACATTTATTGAGTATCACATAAGAAAATTGTAATGCACCTGACAGTGTATTCGTAACATGTTCTATGCCTGAAGACTTTATAGTTCAGTAGCTTAAACTAATAAGATGACAAAACTCTATTTTTCTTATGCTTAAGGATTTTAAACTGCTTAATATTTTGTTTTACTTCAAGGTATTTCCAAACTACCACATTTACCATCCAGCTGCACCTCACGTTGCTTATATGCAGCCAAAAGCAAATGCACCTTCCTTCTTCATGGCAGATGAGCTCAGACAGGTAAGATAAAAGAGAATTTAAAGTGAAATCATGTATCTTGGAGAAATGTAGGAAATTGGCAGTAGCAGAAAAGAAATCATGACTAAACAGCTGTGCAATCAGTTTTCCCTATGGAGAATTTTAAAAACTTAGTCCTGTGGTGGATAGAGTACAAGAGAATTGTGATGTGGGTTTCAGCATATGTTATTGTAGTCTAATCTGCATGCCATGATTGCCTGTTTGAGTATGTATTCTTACTTGTGTATTACATATTAGCATGAGTTCTTGCATAGCATTCTTTTAAGCTGTAATCCTATCCAGTTTTAAAGCCTTTAACTGAAAGGAAGGGTGTTAGTTAATGAGCCCTTCTTTTAGGGCTTGGCTGAGACTACTATTCACTTCAGCCTTAATGTAGTAGATACCTCTGTCAATGCTAGTTCTGGCTAATGTCTTTTGCAGCTCCTCCATTGAAGAGTTTAACTTTTAAGTCATTAACTTTTCAAGCTAGTGTTCAAAACTTGACCTAATTTGTTCTTCAGGAACTGATCAATAGACACCTAATAACGATGGCCCAGGTTGATCAGGCTGATATTCCTGGTAAGTATTTTTTATAATTATTCATGTTGTTCTGTAGTCTTGCGTATAGAACAGTGGTTACCAGTGGCTTGAAACAAACCAACAACAAAAAAAAAACCATAACTCTCCTGTTCTTAATTTTTTTTTAATGAAGTCTGGGTTGTGGATAACCAAAACCAAAGTATTTTGGAAATACTAAATTTATTTCTTGTTTCTGTTCACTTTTCAATTAATTCTATTCTGTTTTGAAACGCTGTAAAGATTGGGAATACTTGAAATAGTGAAAAAGGGAAGATCATTTAGACAATAGAGCTTTATGCAAATTAGTATTGCATCATTTTCTACGTGAATCCTCTTAAAGGAATACCTAATAAGTGTTTTCAAATGCTATATTAACAACCTTGATTGTTTTAATGTGATTTGGCTGGTATATCAGAGAGGTTTTGTACTTGTTGGCAGGTGAGAAAAATGTACTACTTGTAATTTGATTTTTGAAGAATTTACAACCAGCTCTGTTTTTAAACAGATTGCTGTGTTTGGTTGCAGCATTCTTCTTAGTTTGTGTTTAATGTGAATATGATACGGTCTAAAATATATTTTAGTTTACTAACCCAGCTGACATACAAGTGTATCTCTTCTTGGGACTGTAATCTCTTAACCTGATTTGTAAACTTGCTGTGCCTCTGTTTACTAAACCAGTATGTTCCAACACAAGATTCAGGTTTGTTTCGTGTGATGGAAATAGGGTTCTATTTCAAGTGAAATGAAGTCTGTATGGAAATGGGTGCTTATCTGTGAGTCTGTGCAGGAAAAAATACCACAGACACAACAGAGGAATGTTCTTCAGAAGGATGAATTTTTAAGATGAGTGAGAAAACAGCAGATAAAATCAACAGAAGAGATGCAATGTTCTACTTGGTGCAACTATTTTTATGAGGACGTTTATTTTAGCTTCCTGGAATCCCTTCCAGGAACCAATGTATCAGTATTAAAGCAGAAGCAGTGAATTTTTACTTAACGAGCATATAAAGAAAATGATGCATGGAATTTACATGTTAGTGACATAGCAGATTTTGTTTTCTCTGTTCTTGTAATAATTCCTTCAAAATATACTTACATCTAATATATTTCTGTGCATGTACTGATTTAGCAGTTCCAGCAGAAGTGGACAGCTACCACAGTCTCTTTCCTTTAGAACCATTGCCACCACCCAATCGCATACAGAAAACAAGCAACTTTGGGTACATTACGTCATGCTATAAAGCTGTAAATAGTAAAGATGACCTGCCATATTGCCTTCGGAGGATACATGGTGAGAAAAACTGAGTAGTCTTTTTTTTTTTTTTTTTTTTTTATTGCCAGGGGTATTTTTTGTTTAAATAAATATTTTTATGTTCTACGTGTAGAGCTTGAAACAGCTTTGATAGAATTATTCTGTGGGTGTAAAGAGAGCAAGAGGTTCCCACAGACCTGGCACTCCTAAGCATGCTGGTCTTATTTTAGTGTTTGATTACTTTTCACTATTTTTAGAAGACATAATAGTAGAAAAAAAAACCCCAAAACAATAACAAAACCAACAAAAATAACATTCCCCAAACATATTTAAGTATGTTTTTTGATCTTTTCCAGGTTTTCGTCTTGTTAACACGAAGTGCATGGTATTGGTTGACATGTGGAAAAAAATTCAGCACTCAAATATAGTAACCTTACGTGAAGTGTTTACCACTAAAGCATTTGGAGAACATTGTGAGTTTATATCTTTTTTTTTTTTTTCCTCCCAATTAATGTGTTGTGACTTTTTAAAAATATGCTGGAGTTAGTAATTGTCACATGCCTCTATTTTTTAAGCTCTTGTTTTTGCATATGATTTTCATGCTGGAGGAGAGACTATGATGAGCAGACACTTCAATGACCCTAGTGCTGATGCCTATTTCACAAAAAGAAAATGGGGTAAGGAAAACATGTTTTCATAGTATACTGCTGTAAACTATTCCAATACTTGATCAATTAAAAAGTTGATCAGAAGAATTTATTCATCTTCGTTTTTTTAGCTAATCGATTTTGTCATCCCATAAACTGATTGGAACAGAACTTTCTTCCTTTTCTGTTTCTGAATGAAATTGCTGAATATAGGGTTGGGGTTGTTTTTATTTTTTGCTTTAATTTTTGAAATAACTTATTACTTGAGTTAAATTTTTCAGTTTGTAAGTGAATTAAAATTCTTTGCCTACAGGAAACTTACATGGGGGGATTGAGAGCCAAGAGCTGTGGGGTTCTAATTGCAGAGCTGTCACAGGTGACATCTGATGCTTATTGGAGATATTTCATACAAGGCATCTGCTTTGTCAGTGTGATGCTTGTTGTTCAGATTCTCTGCACTTACAGAATGGTGTGTTGTGTGTTTTTTTGTTTGTTTCGTTTTCCCTGGAAATTATTATGAGGAGTAATTAGGCAGTGCTTTGTTTAGTTTTTTTTTGAAATGTTAAGTACTAGTTGAAGACAAGAAATGGATCAGAAAAAATTTCTAATATATTATTTTTGACAAATTCTGTATCATAGGTCTGATTTTTTTTTTTCTTCAGATTTATGCTCTGAGAATTAAGGGTACATCATTAGGAAAATCTATCACAGCATGTTAAGTTGTCCAGTAGAACTCATATCTATATGGTTAAACTCCTTCCCTCCAAAACAGTATACTGTCTCTTCGTGCCTTTTAGAACCAGTTCTCAGCCCATATGGTCTGAAGACCACATTCAGGTGTTGTCATTCAGGAGCACAGCAGGCCAAAACTGAGCATGAACTAATATCATACTGAGAAAGAAGTACACTAACAATTGAATGGTAAAAATGAATGGTATCACAGAATGACTTTAGGTAGGAAAGTACCCTTGGAGCTCACTTGTCCCAGATTCCCACTCAATACAGGACCAATCTTGAAAGTGAACAGAGGACAGTAATAAAGCCTGTGACCTGGACTTACTTATTTTATTGATGTAGGTACTGCCTAAATGCCTTTAGGTGACCAGTTGTGTTTATCTTTAACAAACTGAAGTTACTACTTTCTTGTGCCTTTTGAAATTAGAACCTTTACTTGTGAATTCAGTCTCTTTTAAAGGCTGATGCTGACTATCTGGTAGATCAGAGTGTAATCTGGTAGATCAGATCTGGTAGACCAGAGGTTGCTACTGCGTGAATACATTCAGAGCCTTGAAAGTTCATTTAACACTGAATAGTTCATTCTACTCTGTTGTACTGATCTGACCGGTATAAATAAGGTTGGAACTTGAGTTCCCCACTGGTTTTAGTGATAATACCTCATGCTAGAACCACCCCTAGGCTGACTTGTCATATCTTATGGCAAGTTGAAGATCATAATTACAAATTCAGTGAACTTGATGTGAAACTCACTTCGTATGGCAAACGTGGAAGATCTGCTGCTAGGTTGATTGTGATTTTTGTGCAGGACTAGTCTTCTGAGTGTCTCCCACCTGTGGTTTGTTCTGGATAAATTAGTAGAAGGCATAATAAATATTTTTGGGACATGTCCATTTGCCATACTGGGAAAGAATAAGTTTTCTTCCTTTTTTTTTTTTTTTTGAAGCAGTCATGCCTCATTAATTTATTGAAACTCTTTGAAGGGAAGATAGAGTAAATATAATTTTCAGTGGCATCCATAAGACTCTTTAAAGCAAACAACAATGAAACAATCCTAAGTGTTGATCAGATCAGAGAAGTCCTCAGTAAGGTTAATAACTGATTGAAAGATAAGAAACAGTAAAGAGTGTACAGTCAATTTTCATAGTGAAGGGTGGTCACTCATGGAGTGTCACAGGAGTGTGCTGGCGATTGTATATCTTAATACATTCACTTATCTGTATTGAAGGTAAACAATGCTCTGTCAAAGTTTGCTGATAATACTCAACTTATTTGAATTAGTTAAAAAACAAAGGCTAATTGTGATGGATTGCAGAAGGATCTTACGAGACTGGAAGGCTTGGTAAAAACCTTTCAGATAAAATTTGGTGTAATAAATGTAAATGAAATGATTGAGTGAAAACATATAATCCTAATTTTAAGTATAAAGTGATGACCTCTGTCATGGCTGTTACTACTAGAAAAAAATAACGTCTGGGGCTACAGCTAAGTAGAGTAAGGAAAATACTGTCCTCTTGCTTGAATAGAAATAAATAGCAAAAGGATTGGTACAGATAAAGAAAAGAGTAAACAATGAAAGGGAAGATGAAATATTCAAGATATGGTTGCACTATAGATTTATATTGTAGCTGTACCTTCATCTATTTTGAGGGTTGTAAAGAAATAGAAAAAGCTCAGAGGTGACAAGGATAAGCCTGTGTATGAGGAGCAGCAAAGTAAAATAGTGCTTTTCATGCTTTTAAAGATGGAGGGAAATATGGTGGGTTTAATAATGAGTGAAATATGGTAGGTATGTGTAAATCATCAGTGAAAATAAATAAGTGGCAATTGTTTTGTTTCTTTCAATGCAAAAAAACTAGGGACAGGCAAAAGAAACTAGCCAGACAGCAAATTCAAAACCAGCTGAAGATAATAGTGGAAATTTGTCACAAGTTCTTGTAGATACTTGCCTGGGTTCAAAGGGAAAGTGTGCTTACTCACAAAAGAGAAATACTTGGAAGTCTGTTAACCACAAAGACGATGAGTAGCTCAGGAGATCTTCCTGCACCAAATCACTGGAGGATAGCAGAATATTCTGTTGTTTGTGATCTTAGGTATTTATTGAGATACTTTTCTGATTTTAGTGTATTATTGAAACAGGCTAGAGGGCTACCTAGATCTTTTATTTGACCCAATACAGCCTTTTTACTTAGGCAGAGATGGTTTTGGAGCTGAAAGACATTAGCTTCTGTTTAGCCACAACAAATTATTTAATTAAAGTGAATGACTGTGGCAGATCTTCGTGCTATTTAAGGAGGAAAGTTCTCTCCTGATTGTGACTCTTCTGGTCTTTTTATTATATAAATTAGAAGAAAAAAATAAGTAACCTGCTGCTGACCAGTTTTACCAAACCTTTCTGCAAATCTTTGCTCTGACCTTTCTTTTTTGGTAACTGGTGCTTTCAAATCTCCTCCTCTTTTGAAGGAGCAATTTAGAAGAAGAGAAAAAATAAGATTGCATACCTATAACTTGATTTCTCAAAAATTCCTGCCTTCATGGATCCTTTCTCCACCCCCTCACGGAGTTTCTTGGCCATCTGCCTGCCTGGAGGAGGCTTCCAAGAGAAGCAGGGGAATGGATGGAAGTTGGGTACTCTGCAACATGACGCCCAGATTAGTGCAATTGCTTTTAAAGTTTTAGGAGGCATGACACTGTCAACCTGATCAGTGAACTCAATTTGATTTTGGATATGCAGCCTTATTTATATTGAATGCTCAAGTTGGCAGCACTAGATTTTGACAGTTAAAAGCTGAGGATTATGGTTTATGTAGCTGTCACTTCTGATGTCTATGTGGTCAGCTGCAATGAAGTTTATTTTTTTCTTTTGCCATGCTATTTGCAGACATTATTACTTTGTAGATATGGTAGTGGGGGGGAAAAATCAGCAGTTTACATTTATTTCTATTCTGAGCACTTGCAAAGCGTATGTCTTTGTTGCTTCTGAATTCTACAAAATTTATTCCTTGTATTGTTCTTTATGCAGTGAAATATTCTTTCTTGAAGCGGTACAATATGATAATCTGATATTGTTCTGTCAGTTAAATATTCACAAGTTCTAAAATTAAAGTCTGCCTTTCACTTACCTTGGAATATATTTATTTAAATTATCACTATTTGTTGGACTCTCATTTCTTGTATTTCCTCAATACTTGCATTTTGACGAAGGGTCTGAACTTAACATTTTAATAAAACAGTTTTTTAATGTTTGTATGTTTTTTTCACTGTTCTGGTACTATTCAGTTTCAGATTATGGTATATGTTAGGGCATCTATCTCTGCAGACGTGATTTTTTAAATTAGTGAATTAGCCCAAAAGTACTGAAAACCTTTTCTCTTAACTCCCTAATAATTTACTTAAATGGTAAACCACATTCTCAAGGTACGTATTTCCAAACTGCCAGCTAGAAAATTCTGGCAAGTAACAGTTATGATGAATTTTTGGGAGGGTTAATGTCAGAGATGAGCATGCCTCTCGTATTTCCTTTGATCTGTATATTGAAAATACTCTCAGGAATTAAACGTGGTGTACAAGCACTTAATGGTAGCTCTCAGCACCACAGATTCTGTTTCATAGCAAATTAATATTTCTAGTAAATGTGGACAAGCTTCCTGGACATTGATTTCCTTTGGACACATTGGCAATAGTAGTATTTATTCCAGAAAAGTGGACGTTGTTGTTGACTTTGTAGTTTTTGCATTCCTCAGTCACTGTGTTTTTCGGAAGAAATCTTTTCAATTTAAAATGAGTGAAGTTATGTACCCAGACTGTGATGAGCAGGAGAAATTTATTAATATTTAAAGTCAGTACAATGATTCTCTGTCTATGAATGTTATAAAGTCAAAGATGATTAAATATTCTATTGAGAGCTTGAAGCAACTCTGAAATCTAGAAGCAATGCCAGAATATAGATACTGCAGCTTTTCCTGCCCATCTCAGGACTAACTCTGGCTTCGTCCTTGTATGGGAGAACTGAACTTTGTTGGGGACGAAGAAGAGAAGGGAAATAAAAAGACACAGCAGTGCAAAACGTGCAGTTCTTTCTCATCTGACAACATCATAGCACAGAACTGAAAAGTAAAAAAGGCAACAACAAGAAAACCCCTATTGAGTTCATTTTAATGTAGCAAGAAAAATAATGGACTACTCATGTTTCTGGAGTGGAAGTTCTTACATTTTTAATCTTCTCCATTATTATTTATGTACTGTGTCTCAGATGAAAGCACTAATAGGAGCGAGTCTATCCTGCTCCAGAGGAAGAACATATTATGAAACTCTGCAAGGATTCAACCCATGCTATGAATTTATTTCAAATCAAATATGAACTTCTGAAATATTGCTTCTTAGACTAATGTAACTTTGATCATTTTTAACTTTTTTGAAAAATTCTTTTTATGTTTTTCAACGTGCTAAGCACTCTTTGGAAAGCTTTCAGCTGTGTGTTTCACCTGCATAGTGAGCTTTTGAGTCCTGTTTCCTTGGATCGTTGCTCATGGGCCATCTGCAGCAGGCCTGGTAGGCCTTTAGGGAATGTGTTTCATAACCAGCATTACAGCAAACTGAACTGCTTTTAACTTTAGATGTTTTGAACAAATGGATATATAAGAGGGTGCTTCATGTGTGATTCTTCCAGTGTTCGAGCTTGTACCTTTAGTGGGAACAAGGGCTACTGCCTCAAAGCAGTGGCCTGGATTTGGCTGTAGCCTCAAGCAAATCTTTCCAGTAGTAAACAATACTGCTGCTTGATTTAGATGTTCTGATAGAGAAGGAGAAGCTGTGATCTCTCCATGATGCTTTTAATTTGGAAATCGAAGGGTAAGTGTTCTGAAGTCACAAGCAGAAAAATAGCCCCCAAGTTCTGGCTCTTTTTACCTTTGGAATGTTATAGAGCACTTTGTTTATTTTGTACATATGTAACTGTTATACGTATGTAACCATCTTACGGAATCCATACGCATTGCGTTGTATGCATCCCACACAGTGCTATTTACCAAAAACATACTGTATAACAAGTAATGGCTAAGAGAGGAATCTTGATTAATACAGGAACTTACATCTCCCCAGTCATTTGATATCATCATCATTTTTCCTATGCTGAAGAACAGAGAAGCATGGAGGAGGGGGTAGAGCTTGCTACATGAGATTCCTGGTATGCTGGCTTGTGGGAAGTGATTTGCATAACAATTCATTAGGAGGCCAGAAAAAACAAGTATACCGTGCTTTCAACCTTCAGTTGATGTACCAGGCTTGATGCTATTTAAGGGAGGCAGTGCCTTGGCTTTTATAATCTAAACCAAAGCAACTTAAACTTGCAAAATTAACTAGTTGATTTTTTGTCATCAATTTTTGTCAGACTGGGAATGCCCTCAAACTATCATGCTCACTCCAAATCAGTATATTTTGAAGTAAAGCTTTCAATAATGTTTAATTTTTCAGTGCTGTGTGTGTGTATACGTGCAGAGGCACACAAATGCTTACTTTGACCAAGTGCATGGATATGAATGCATTGGATGCTGTGAAAGAAACACAAGAAATGAATGTTTCTCTGGATTTAGTTTCTTATCTTGAGCATTGTGCCATGCAAAGAGTAGCTACTGTGTGTCGAAGACATTTTACAGAAAGTAACGTTTATCTATGTCTTATTGTTTTCATCTATGACTCAGTCTTACTGGGAAACAATCTGTAGTGTTGAATATGGGTGTTTGCAAATAGGTAATTATACTTTTGAAAGGACTACAAATTCATTCTGAAATGGAGAGTTACTTTTGTGTGGCCTGTTAAACAAGGGTCATAGAGTGATGACTTGTCAGTGAGTTGGGTCACGGCAGAACACACATGAAGTTGTGTTTATGCTGTTTAGCTACAAGATCTTCCACTTTGATTTGCTTACATAGTTTGAAACTAGTTTGGTCCATTTTCCTCAGTTTTACCAAATAGACCATGTTTGACTTGTATACCTCCCTACAGTAAAGGAGATGAAACAGGATCTGTTGCAGCTATTCTGATATGTACTTGTTTTTTTTTTAATACCATTATTTTTACTTCTGAAATACCTACTTCCAGAAATTTTAAATGGTGCTCTTTTTGCAGTGAATATTCATTCTGAACTTAAAAATCATCATAGTTTTCCTGAATGTGAGTGGATATAATAATACCTGGGGAATTGGGAGCTTTTTAAAGTTTATTGTAGTTACAAAAATAAAATTAAATAAAAATCATTAAAAGAAAATATCTATCTGTCTTTTGATAGCCATTGATTAAGAAATCAATGAAAGGAGTAACTTTATATTTCAAAATGTTTAGCTTTAATTTTTTGTAGTAGCCATCTGTTAGTACTAAGAATATTTTCCTTACTAGGTCAGCATGATGGACCTCTACCACGACAGCATGCAGGTTTGCTTCCAGAGTCATTGATATGGGCATATATCGTGCAGCTCAGCTCTGCCTTACGGACCATTCATACAGCAGGACTAGCATGCAGAGTTATGGATCCAACAAAGATTCTAGTAACTGGCAAGACAAGGTAATGAAAGCATTAATTCTCATTGTATACCATGGTCTATATTCATGGTGGCTGCTGACCATGAACTTTTGTTAGACAAATAACAAATCTAATTAGAAAGAGCTGTTACCTTTAACTGATACGAGACAATGTGCTTAATTTGTTAGGATTTTTTCCCCAAGTTCTATACATCTTTCAGGAAGGTTTATGCACTGTCCCCACAATACTGGTCAAGTCCTCTACTGCCAGTTTAGTAACTTAATGCTTTATTTGTAAATTGAAGACCGTCTGTCTGAATTATAAAACATTAAAATCAATATTTTATGCTTTACAGTACTAAGATGCCTTTTTTTGTCATGTTAAACCATTCAGTTAAGGCATTCAGTGGTATGAATATTGGGATAAATAGAGTAATCAACAAAACGTAATGACATTTGTTCTTCTTTTGTTGTTGTTGTTCCAAAGGTTACGAGTAAATTGTGTTGGAATCTTTGATGTTTTAACATTTGACAACAGTCAAAATAATCCACTGGCGTTAATGGCTCAGTTTCAGGTAAGACAACAGTGCTATAGTGAGGTTGGTGACTTGGCCCAGAGAGTACAGAAAACCAATGTGATTCCTCCTGGAAGTTTAATATTTTAATTGAATTGTAGTTGATGTATCTATCTCTAAAGAACTGTGTCTTTCATTCCTGATTTGATCTTAGCTTAAATTTGTTTGTAATTTAGAAAACTGAAAGTTCATTTTACTATCTTCTGCTTCTGAAATTTCAGCAAACTTGCAGAACAGGTCAAACTACTAGTATTTAACAAAATAATTCAGAAATTGTTGGAATCACAGATTTTTAATGAGAGAAAGGAAAATCTTGCGTTTAGTGATAGAGATCAGAAAATGTTTCAGTAGCAGTTTTTGCTCTTTCTCATATGTTTTAACAAAAATAATTGTGACAAATGCCTGTTCACAGAGGAGTAAGAGATCTTTTTAAGTAATTGCATTTAGGCCTTCTCCTCACTCCTAAAAGGTTCGAGTGTATCTTTATTTTAGGCTCCTAGTTTTTCCGTGTTCTCCTGACGTTCTCTGAAGTGTGGACTCTGCATAATTCCTGAATTAAGAAGAATCCCTTTAGACTTAACAAAAACTGTTCCACAGTCATCTGGAGCATCACTGTGTACAGAAGTGCCTCTTTCCCTAACTTCCCCTCAGGGTAAAGTACATTACTTCAGCAGTCATCACGTACCCTGTTCATACTGGGAGTGAAAGACTACAGTAGGGAGTTGGATTTAATTTATTTTCATTAATCGAGATTATTCACTGTGAGAAAATTGCTCATTCAGAGTCTTCCAGTAATAAATGAAATGTTTGAACTTTGGCCAGGCAGAAACTAGCTCATTGGAGACCTTGTCCTAGAACATAGCAACTTTTTTTTTTTTTCTTGGAATAATATAGTAAAGCAATTTTCAGTGTGCTTTGGGTAGGACTTCAAAGGACCCCCCTACACCCCAACAACTATATATCAATGGGCTTGTGGTAGTCACATAATGGAAAACAGCCAAGAGAATATAGGGATACATGTAAGTGAGATGTTTCAATCCTGCAACTATAATGAGATTATGATTAAATATTTACTGAAGTTTACTTGAGTAGCAGCAGGAAAACAGATCATACTTGAATGTCATAATATCTCTGAAATTTTAAAGCAGAATATTTAATATACTTGGAGGTACAAATCTAAGAACGCTTTCAGGTGTGTCAATCTGTCAAAAGCTTTTAGAACTGTAGGAGCCCAACATTTGGCAACTAACTTGGTGTAATGCCTAGTTTTGTTTAGATATGGGTTTTGTTTACTTGTATTATACTTTCTTAGTATTTAAATTGTTCAAGTATTGCTGCTAAAACTGCAGTACTCTTTAAATGTGGAAGGTATATGCTGGAGATAGAAAACATTGTTTACTTCCTTTTTGTTGCTTCCTCTGGAGAGGCCAGGCTCTCACAATTGATTTTGTTCCTTCAGAGATTCTGGATGGAATTAATTCCTTGAAATTCAGGGGTCATTTATCATGTCCTACCTTTTGTTTGACCTAGCCAGATAGCACTACAAAATAACAGCTGCAGCTTGTTCTTCTTCCTCTCGATCCATGACCCAGTTCCTGAATTCCTCTGGGACTCTTGTGACTGTTAAAAATGTAGGTTATCTGTTGGTTTACTGCCCAGCTTATATGCATTTCCTTGTTGTTGTCTTCAGTGCAGGAAGGTATTTTTGTTAGCATTTTTCACTTTCTGGCTATTTCCCATTGTTAACATAAGATAGGAAAGAATTTGACCAGAACAGAGAGGAGCTATGCAAAAGGAATGCAATTGTTCTTTATGGTCTGTTTTTCAGAATCTGTGTTAAATGCATTAGCTTATGTGATCATTTAAGAGTTAAATAAAGGTAACAATATGGGAAGCTAAATATATGAATAGAGACTTAAGTTAAAAACAAGATGCTTAAATCTTATATACATCGTCTTCACCCTCCTCACCTCCAGTCTTATAAGTCAATCAGTTACTAAATTTGTGTAGTAATACTGGAAGTGGCGATGCAGGAAACAGTGGAAAGTTTTGATACGTATTTCTGTATTTGGAATAAAATGAAAGTTAGTCCTCTCCATGTGAAATGAAGAGAAAGCATAAGTGTTATTGATTTAGCAAAGGCTGTAAGGTAACATTTGCTCAAAGTATGTAGTAAAAAAATGTAGTAAACCAAAATAACTTTGACATGCACCTCCCTAAATTTTAAGAAACTAACTGAAGAGGCATCTTAACTATTAATGTTGACTTAAAAAATAAAAATTAAAAAAAAAAAGAAAAAAAAGTAATCTAGGAACTTGGAGTGATTTCTAACTACAATTCCAGAGCTTAAAAGGATGAACAAATCCACAGAATCGTAGAGTGGATCATAGAACTTGAGCTGCTACTGATCCAAGCACAGCAGTGAAATAGGATAAACAGAGTAACATCAGTTTCAAAGAACTTAAATCTGACTTTCAACAAGATCCATTTTCTTATTTGACTAGCTTATGTGTTTAGCTAATAAAGCCAACTGCATGAAATGCTCAGATATCTTGAGGGCTTTGTGCATAGTAGCACATAATTGTTTTTAACATTAAAATTGTGGAGGGGTACCTATTCAATTAATTTTTAATCTACTCATGACATATTTAAAATTCATTTGATAACAGGGAAACATTAGTGGTGAAGGCTCTTTCAGAAGGTATTTCCCAGAGGCTGGTTTTTAGCTGAATGCTACTTTATATTTCCATCAGTGACCAAGATGATCGTGATAAAAATCTTTACTAGCAAAGTCTTCCAGGAGATAGAGGTTGTTGCAGACTAGTTGTTGTTATTAATTGAATTGCTATTTAAATGGCTATTTGCTGCACAAAAGATACATTTCTGGACAAAATATACCCTGTACTTAAAAGGTATAAAAGTTTTCTTTTGAAGTTATGAATCAACTTAGTATGACTTAATAGTTAGTGTTGATAATTACCATAGCAAATGTCTGGTAAGCTGGTGTGATTCTTAAATATGTGAAAAGCATAATATGCTGTGTTGTAAGCAGATGAATGATTGTACCTGATGACCTGTCTGAACTGGCAAAGCTGCTGCAGGAATACTATTTACTTATGATGTCCTTGCTCCAAGAAGATCTATTAGTTATTGTGTGCCTCCTTTAAACTTCCTCTGCCTTGAAGCTGAAGGGGCTGAGTGAATGAATGAATTTTTCAGTGAGGAAGGTTAAGGTTTAGCAGGAGTATGTAGATTTTTCTCCTTTTAGAAAGATGGTGTACTTCAGTTCCTAGGAAGTTTTTACCTTGTTTGGAGAGAGAGAGTTGGTCAGAAGGTGGTAGTTTGATCCCTTCTGAAATAGGAACCTGATTTCTGGAAGTCTTCATGTTTATTCCACTATCTAGCCAGACACAAGAGGAAAAAAAACATTTCAGTTCCTAAAATTAGCTGGATGAATCCACGCCAGTTTTGCAATCAAAACATAAGTCGATCATTGGCTGTAACTTGAATTATGTATCTTTGAGGCTGCATTGGTGTGTTGTCATCTCTGCCAAGTTTTGTATTAGGTGTACTTCGTGAAACAAATGCTAATTTATGTTGCAAGTCAAATGGTTTAAAAAAAGAAAAAAAAAAAAAGCCTGAATTCAGAATTTCCTGTCTGAAGTTATGTAGACTCTTTTCTCAACCAATTTTAAAATTGAATGCAATCTGCATTATGATAGTGTCTAAGCAAGGAAAGATGATATTTACATAGGATTAATTTTTATGTTTTGGGTATATCAGTCAAGGTTGGGTGATAATGAAGAATTCATATATGATACTGTCTCATCAATTATTAAATGTTAGAAGGTTTTAAGTAGGAGACTTGAGAAAGAACAAAGATCATTTTAAGATTAATACAAATATTTATTTCCCCTAAGTCTTTTGGAAATAAACCTAAAAAACTAAAAAAAAACTAAAAAAACTAAAAAAAAAAAAAAGCAAAAAAGCAAAAAAAGGCCATTGTGCTGAGTGAAGATGTCTCAGTGCAGATACCTCTTCAGCAGTTTGTCTATTTACTACTATAGCAGTGTCTTCTGCTGCTCAACTTGACTGTACTTGATAGTGAATGTAAACAGGATCCCACCAAGATGGGGTTTGTTGGTCTCATTCATTTCTCTTTGCCAAAGTACAAAGCAATGCTGATGCACAGGAATTCTTGGTTCCTTAGGAAATTAAGTCTAGCAAATGCCAGTCCCATCTCTTTCATGTATTGTCTTTGTTTCTGTTCTATTTGCCACATCTGGTTTCTGTCTTCATTAGTGACTGCCCTGTACCATGCTTTTTAACTTCTGTCACATTGCTTATTCATTTAAATTGTGCTGCTTAATCGTACTTTAGCGGTTGATACAGAATCAGCAGGGATGTTCATAGACCTGGAAACATGTTCTTTACGTTGTGCCTCAACATCTGGAAGATGTAGCCAAAGGGAAAGCTCCCTTCAGCTGCTGCAGCCAAAGGAAGAGCAGAGACTGTTACCCCTCTGGGTGGAACAGCTGTGAGGGGCTGTGACACATCCACCATCTCGGCAGTTTCCCAAAGTTCTAGCTCCAAAATTCTACACAGAACTTTAAATGTTATCCCACTACCAAATTTTTGGCCTTTCTAACAAAAATGACAGAAGCTATATTCCTTGTATGATGATATGCTCTGCTAAACATCATCTCCTTCCTCCAGAATATGGAACTGACATTCACGATGAATAATAGCAGTCACCTCCTTACTTTTCACAAAAGTATCTTTTCTTAGAAAAAGTCAGCAAGTATCTGTAGCTGATTATTAAATTCAATCTGAAGAACTCATCCAGTGCAGTTTCAAGTTTGGCCAAGTTTATATGCACTTGAAAGGCTTCGTATGGGAAGAATTGGGCATCTTCTGCAATGAATATTACTGTTCCCTACTGAATTGGGGTCCTGTTTTTAGAGAGAACTTCAAAATCTGATGTTACTTTTTACAGTAACTTCTGGTAGCAATTGTTTAAAGTAGTAAAAATGGCAGAAGTTTCTGTTGCAACTAAGTCTGTATAGCATATTCATCTTTTAAGAAGTGTTCTACTCTTAAGCAAAATGGTTAGTAATACTAAGGTTTTCTTCACAAATGGGATTCTGTTCCATTTGTTAGCTGCACAGGTCTGTTCCTGTTTGGCTACTTCAGGCAGTTTTTATCTTTTCACACAGGCCAGAAGAGATGAAAATCTTTGAGTTGTTTTATTAAAACAGAAATATTGACCTGCTGGATTCCAATATTTCTGTTTTAACAAATAATCCTTGATAGGTATTTTTGCATCTTGTATCAAGAAGATGTGCAATTTGCTATCAACTACTTGATTCCTCAGGAATGAGTGCATGAGTGGCTAGGAGAACCTCTTCTGTAGTGAGCAGAAGCTCTACAAAGATTTCACTCTGGTATTATCCTTAAGATAAAAATGGGTAAATTTGAAGCTTTCAAAGATAAATATATTACCCTGAAATTGTTAGGTACTAAAATTCTCCTGTGGATGTTTTAACTACTTGGACAGCTGTATTGCACAGCTATAACGTTTAGTTGTTCAAATTCTTCAAAGGTTACTGAAGAACTGTCTTAAATGCCCTCTAGTAATGTATGTAATACTTATCTGTACTACGAATCTTATCTGTGCATGTTTTCCCTGTTAGCAAACAGATCTGATCTCCCTGGGGAAAGTTGTGTTGGCTTTGGCTTGCAATTCTTTATCAGGAATTCAGAGAGAGAATTTGCAGAAAGCAATGGAACTGGTGACAATCAACTATTCCTCTGATCTGAAGAATCTGATCTTGTAAGTTTGCTACCACATTTCTTTGCCGTTGTTTTTATTTTCCTGTAAAATATTATTGAAAGTGATGATAACTTTTTTAAACGTATGGTTGAAAATGTCAAAAAAACACTTTCAGATGCAAATAAGAGTACAGTTTACTCTCATTAACTGATAATGTTTAATAACGTGCTGTCTATGCAAACATTTGAAGTTAATTCATATGTGTATTTTTATGATATAACTAATAAAAATCAATATCCTGTTAAAGCTCCTAGTAAGATTGTATTAATGTTTAAGCAACTATACAAAGCAAGTTTCCCTCCCAAAAAACAACACAACAAAACAAACACAAACCAAAAACAACATAAAAACAAACACCCAAGCCTTTTAAGTCTAATCTTCCATTCTGGGATTTATTGCTTCTTATTTACCATAGCAGTATCCTTGTCTTGTATCATAGTTATGGAAGGAGTTAAGGGATAGGCATGTTGATTTTTTGACCAAAGACTTCAGTGCTATTTTTTCTCAGTTGTATATTATTTTGTGGTGTTCTTTAGTATAGTCAACGTTTCTACTCTTACAGCCTAAGAAGTAAAAGTAGGTTTCTCTGTCCCTTCTCTCATTGGAAAAACGATTGCGTCATAATCTGAATCTTTGCATCTTCCCTTATGTTGTTTGAGTGGGATGAGCTAGGAAGTCCCATGAGAGCCCTCCCCTAGCTAATACAAATAACTGTCTGGAAGTAGGCAAGTAAATTAGCACAAATGTTTTCTCTGTTAATATCTTTTTTTTTTTAAATACAAAAGCTGTCAATTCATAAATTAAACAAACATTGGGGTCAAGTAAAATCATAACAGGATGAACTTTTTGGCACTTGCAGTTTGTGTAAGTAATCTTTTTGGGGGGTGGGGATATTTTGGCAGGTATTTGCTGACTGACCAAAACAGGCTTCGCAGTGTAAATGATATCATGCCTATGATTGGTGCGCGATTCTATACTCAATTGGATGCTGCTCAAATGAGAAATGATGTTATTGAGGAAGACCTTGCAAAGGTAAATCGTTAAGTAATCTGCACAGGAAGACCTATAGAATGTATTCCTACAGCTGTACCTTCAGAGGGAATGTTTTGTAGTTTCAGTTTTTTTATTTGTTTACTTTGTTTAGCAACCCAAGTAAGCTGCCTTGAGAACTCTCTTCAAAGTACTGAAAGTCCAACAGCTCCAAGAACTACTAGTTTTAGAATGTGCTTGGCTGGGCTTTTAATTAGGTAGCATCCTCATGTCCAACCAGCAGTCCTGAGTAAATATTTTCTGTGTTGAATGATTGAAAAGTAGTATTCTGAGTAAATAATGCCATGTCACCTCACACTAGATCATGTAGCTTATATTCAAGATCAAAAGAATGCTTTCTTTATATTTTTGAATAGATTTAGATTTCAGTGCTACTTACCTTTGTGCATTTTTTTCTTTCTGAATGAATGCTAGATTATGGAGATAAAGGTCCTGATAGTCATCTTCAGTTTCCCTAAAACGTTCACATTTTGCTGTGTGAGTCTGGCTGATCTATCAAGTTCAGTCAAGGTATCAGGTGCTAGCTACAAAGGAAATATGTACTTTGTCCTGTGCAAACGTGTATTTGCTCAGCAGGAAAGGGTTTGAGCCTCGTCTTATCTGCTCTTCAGAAGTCACTGATCACAGAATTTTCAAACAAGACTGAAGTACATTTTAAAGGCTTTTATATGACTGAGGATTTGAGTAGGATAGGATATTGGGTTTCTGTGGATTAAATCAAGACTTGTGACTCATTTCCCTTGAATGCAATCACTGAGCATGTTTAAATAGGCAACAAATGGTATTCTGGTACTGTTTCTCTACCATTGGTGTGTTGGATAACCAACTGTTTTTCCCGTCTTTATGAAAGATAATGAAATCTTTCATGGCTAAGAGCAGCAGAAGAGCAGGATGGTGCCTACTCTGGATGCAGAGCTCTACATGATAGGTGTTCACTCTTCTTATTGCACTCAACTACAACTTCTGCTCTAAATGTTTAAGATTGCTTCTTGTCAAGGTGGCCCAGCGTGCCTACTCAAATTTGAAATGGGTGGACTTTTTCCCATAATAAAAATGGGAGGTTGTCCTATAATCATCATGAAGCAATCTGCATTGTCAGTCAGGTTTTTTAATAGCAGTTGCTTTTCACTGGCAGGTGAGAAGAGCCACTGCAAATCCAAACTGTTGCATAGCTGCTCGTTCATCATTAGCTGTTTATCTAGCAGGGATAAGTAGCAATGTCATAATAGCAACAGTGTCACTTAAGTCTAGCCTGATATCCTCTCTTTGTTATTGCTCCAAAGCAGATGCTTAGGGGAGAAAGCTAGAACAGTAGTAGCATGTATGTTATTTTTCTGCATGTTCTCCAAGCATGCAGTCATCACAGCTTGGAGGCTTATGATGTAGGAGGTGGTTTGTGTGTAGGCAATAATGTTGGTGTTCTCTTGAAGCCATGGATATTGTTGCTCACATTTCACACAGTAGTGACCCTGTTACTCTGTCCTTTTCCTTCCTCACCTTAATATTCCCATTATCTACGTGTCACAACATTCAAGCATGCAAAATTCTGTTTTCAAGTCCTTTAATCCACTCTAGGAGAATTCCTTGCCTTATGTGCTACCAAGCCTGCAGAGAGGCCACCTGGAGGCTTAGAGCCAGTGTTGTTGCTCAATTCTGTTACCACTGACAGGGAATCTACAAGGTTGTAGCACTCACACAGATGTGGTTTTGGCTTTTGTGTTTTTGGCACATGCCAAAAAATAATTTTGAGGTTGTATAGACCTCTGCTAGCTGGAGAAGGTAAGTCTTTACTGTCGATCTCCAAATGCAGCTTTAATTCAAGTACAAGCTGTTCTGCTGTGCGTTTTTTAGACTGGTAATAAGAATCTTGCTACCCCATGGGTTGTTTGAGGTCAAACTGTTATCACCTTGACCTACTTTATTTACCCAGCTGTGCACAGTAATCTACTCCAGACTGAATTAATTTGAAATCAATATGATCATGCATGGAGTGAGATGCAGCTTAGCATGAATAACATCTGAGAGCTGGGCCACTGGAGAATATGAATAATGTCAGGAGAGAGTATTTTTTTTTTTTCATATCAGCTTTGAGCAGCTTTGCTTAAACAGAAGATTAATCCATGGTATAAATGCAAGCTAGCTTAAGATATAACACTTTTTATTGTAACTTAAATGACAATGAAGGATGTATGAAATCAATTTTTCAATTGATTACATGTATTTTAAGCATCTTAAAATGCTAATGTTCTGTCTTTTGTGCGAGTTTGTTCTGATTGCTTTGCCTCTGTTATCAGAGTACTTAGAGTTTATACTGCATTAAAATCAAAAATTATATTTTTAGATTTTTTGGAAGAACTTGTTTCAAAAATTTGGGACTAGACTGCAATTGCAATTTCAGTATGATGTTATTACTATGCACTATTTTCTAATGATCTACAAAATGTTTTTCAAGAGCGCATGTAGTAGATAATGTTTCTTCTCCATATGCTTTAAATCAGCTATTTATACTATTTATTTCTACACTCTAGCTTGCATGTGTATATGTATACAAGCACACAAGGTGTGTTAAATTCTTGTTTAACATAACTGTATTTTAATTTATTTTTGAATGTAGGCTGGCAAGGGAGGCTAGACTAGTTTCCAGGTAGTGATAGGTTGCCTGATCCAGTTCTTGTTAGGGCAGCAAGTTGTCACTGGTTATTAAATCTCCACACTTAAATGCGAAGTGTGAAGATTAGAATTGGGCTACCAATACGTAATATAATGTATTGGATCTAGATCTCTTTCTGAAAAAATTACACCATCTTCTTAGACTAAATCAATTATTGTAGTTCATAGTGCTTCGTTAGCATTACTGTGCTATAACTTTGGTAAATAAGTGTCTTAATTTTATGTTTCAGAAACTTGAATAATCTTTCTTGTTTTCTAGGAGGTGCAAAATGGAAGGTTGTTTAGGCTTCTAGCAAAATTGGGAACAATCAATGAGAGGCCAGAGTAAGAAATTCTTGTTTTTGTGGTGTAGAGCATGCAAAACCCAGTTTCCAATGCAAAATTTCTTCCCTTGTAAATTTAAGCTGAACATTTTTCCCCATGTTTGCCTCTGAAGCGATTAGGTGTTAACTCTTGAAACAGTAAGAAAAAAAACATAAGCAACTTTGACAAAATATTAAACAAACAAAAAGACTACACATAGATATGTCAAAGTTTCTTCCAATTGGATTCTCTTAGTTCCTTGTGAACAATGATAGTTCTTGAGGAAAAGCGTAACTGTCTTGAACTGCAGCTAATTATGTAGATATCTGTTTTAAGCCTGTTAATTGTCAGCTTGTTTTTTTTTTTATGAGGTACAGCATAAAAATTAAGTGTTCCTGTTTGGTTTTCCATTGGCTCTTGTGTTATGCATAATTGAATAGACTTGGCTGGAAGAGTTGTTTGCAAAGTTTCTAACGTTTACGTGGTAAACTTGTTAAAGAAGGCCACTGTTTTCCTCTGTTGCTTTTCTGTGGGCCTTTCATAGGCATTAACTTCAGATACTTTAGCTGAGAAGCTCTGAATGCGTCATCTTCTGACAGTGTGGCAAGAGATACTAATTTATTGCAGATCTTAACAGGAAGCTCAGCAGAGCAGTAGGGTGACTCAGTCAGATAGCACAGTCATGTGTATATATGAGCTTTGCTTTGTCTTAACTTTCTGAAGTTAATATGAGCCTTTGTTTTACACCAGGTTTCAGAAAGACCCAACGTGGTCAGAAACTGGAGACAGGTATTTACTAAAGCTCTTTCGAGATCACCTTTTCCATCAAGTGACAGAAGCGGGTACTCCTTGGATTGACCTCAGTCACATTATCTCATGTCTTAACAAGGTACACTGTATTTGGGTTAGCTTTTAAAAACTGCATGGGTTAAATTTCTTTAGAATAATATTCCAATTCAAAGCAAGTTGTCACTGGCAGGTTAATTCTGCTGATTTAACTGATGGTCATTTTTTCACCTATTTTGGTTGAAAACAATGTGTTCTCAAAGCTAATACTCAAGCATTTGTGGATATTGTAAATAAACTTAGTAGTACATTAATGTTAATGCTCGGGATTCAGTAATACAGCATGAGATTCATATTAACCTTTTCATCCTATAACGCATTGAATACTGTGGATAAGCAATGCTGGTCCCTTTATGCTACTCTGGTCTTTTCAATACAGCATAAAGGATCCGTAAAACCCCTTTTATAGGGAGAGGTTTCTATTGATATAGTTATCACATAATATGGTCATAAAACAAGAGGGTCCATTCCTAATCTGTGCTGGCCAGAGTGGAAGCGGGAGGGTCATATCAGGAGAGGAACTGCAATAGAAATTTAAGCAAAATCCAGCACTGTCCTAGACAGTGAGGAAAATTTCTGTGTTAAGCCTCTTTCTGGTAAAACACACATTCTTGCAGTCTTCTAAGAGCTGCACCACTAGCAAAACTTTAGCTGAATGCTTTCATGGTTAATAGTGGGAGATGTAAGATAGACTACAAGATCTTAAGTGATTGTAGAGTGATTTGCTCCATAAAGTACAAACTGATTTTTTTTTTTTTTTGTCAGATCAGCTTTCAACTTATCTTACGTTGTTTTATCAAAATTCAGTAACATGCAGGAGAATAAGATGCTGCTTTTCTTTGTAGCCTCCTGGTCATTCCACTCCTTACAGAGAGTGGCAATGCAGACACTGACCATGTATAGTTTGTGTAGTATTTTCTTTTCTAGGATTAGGTAACCAACTTTCTTTTCCATGAATGTTTGTACATACTCAGATCCATTGGCATGAAACAGCTGACTATTTACAGTGAAAACTCTTTCTGAACTGTCACAGCTTTTTATCTGCTGTTAGACCACTGCTGTGCGTATTTTTAACCATTTTTTATCTCTCTGATTGATGTCTGTAATCGCTTTAAAAGGGGCATAAAAGGATTGACGAGGCTAAATCAAAAGCATGTTGCTATTCAAATAGTGAAATGTCATCACGATTTGAAAGTGATAACCAGTATAGCTCTGTAACAAGTGGAGAGCAGTCCTGAATTTGTAAGTAGGAGACTATGTCAAAGAATGCCTCACTCTATAAATGCTCATGGCTTATCTTTTTTTAAGCAGAGGCTCTTCTCTTCTGTGGTTGTGGACTCAACACACAAAAAAATATAAGGCTTTGTAGAACTTCGCTTCAGAAACGCACTCTACAAAGCATTTCTAAAATCAGTGTTCACTAGTAGAAGTGGTTATTTGGGCTTTTCTGCTATGCCCAAAAGCATTCTTTTTGAATGAAATTCACTCCAGTGTTTAAAAAAGATCTTTTTTTTTCAGTATGGTGTTTTTGAGATCTTTTTTGCTAAGACACTGATTTATGTATCCAAAGGAAAAGAAAGTTATATAATGTTTCTAGTCAGCTGTGTGGCTTTCTTAATACAGATCATCCATATGCTGAACTTGTGAAGATATTTTGCCGATTTTGTGAGAGACAGTGTGAACAGTGGACAGTTTCTCACACAGCCTGAACATGTTAACATTTTGTAGTGGGTGTTGGAAGGGAATTGTAGTTTTATCCTACTTTACAAGAATTAAAAGCTAATTGGCTTTTTTTTGTCCTTCTAAGCTATTCACAAAGCAGAAGCTTTACATTTAGGAAGTTACAGCTGTTAAGGTTATAATCAGAATGTTATTTTTAGAAGATAAATGCAAGTGGTTTCTAATTTGCTGCGTTGCTTCAGACAGCAGCCAAAATCTCAGTGCCAAATGTAATTGTCTTTCTGCCAGTCAGAACAACATTACATAGCTGGGGCTATATTTCCAAAGATCATCTCAATGATATCATACCCTGCTTGCCTCTGCTTCACCTTCTGTAAGGTTTTAGTATCAGAATTTGTAAATATTGACATATTAAGCCACAAAGCTTTTCAATACAAGAGTCAGTTCTCCATTGCTGGAGGTGTCTTGCAAAGTGAGATCATAAGAAAGTGTTAGAAGAGATTGTCAGCATGTGAACTATCATGTTTTTCTGCTCTGAATTAAGACTTTGTGATATATCTCTAATGTAAGTAGTGTAACACACGTGCATCCCGAATTGTTACTTTTCTGCTCTGTTCCTGAAACTTCCTAGTGAAAGGAATCCAGCAGCCTCCTTAAGGGAGACTGTGCCATTTGTGGAGCTTCACGTTTTCTAAATAGATTTCATTACAAAAGTGTTTCTGCATCTATTACAGGCAATTGTCATCAAATATTGGTGACAGGAGTTGCATGGAGGTTGCTTGGAAGATCATGCAACTCGGTTCTGGTATTACTTTAATATTGTATTTGAGAAGTCAGAACAAAACATGAAAACAAATGTGGAACAAATTTTAATCTTTAAGCCTGAATTATCCTTTCATTTATGGACTTGTAAGTAGGTAATACTTTTCTTAGAATAAGGGAAGAAGTGTACTCTACAAAAGGCTTGAACTAGTTTGTGTCCACTATGGAAAAAAAAACAAAAACAAAAACAACAAAACCATAAGATTTTGGTTTCTATCATTATTAAGAGTACTTGGGGTTGGTCCATCTGTTAATTCATTTTTAGAATGGGCTAGAGGTCCTGCTAGGAAGCATGTGGATCTTATGTGCAAATATAGTGGATGATGTGCAAATGTTATGTCAAATATTCTGTTCATCAGGAGTTATCTGAAAATTAGACTAGATATTCTGTACAGGGGGAAGTAGTATTGCAGGATTACTTGATTTATGGACAGGGAAGAAAACAGTGGTAATTTAGTCCACAGGTGTGGGATGTCCATCACGTTAAGATCAAAATGTCTTGATTTCTTGGCAAGTATGTTGTTCTCATGGAGCTCAGATGTGTTAACAAAGAAAGGAAGGATCTGAGTTGCACCAAAATAATGTACTTGCGAAGAAATTGATTGCTTTTGTTATTGGGGAAATGTTTTTGCCATTTATTTCACGCTTCTTTTATTTTATCTTTTGCATTCTTGTTACAGTTAGATGCTGGTGTGCCAGAAAAAATAAGCCTCATTTCCAGAGATGAGAAGAGTGTACTTGTGGTAACTTACAGCGATTTAAAACGCTGCTTTGAAAATACTTTTCAAGAACTGATTGCAGCCGCAAATGGTCAGTTGTAGTATTTGCTGAAAGCATGCAGGACATTGCTGAGGAACTTAACCAATAGCAAATTGCACTACAGCTGAATTGTTGTTGTCATCTCATTTCACATTTGGGAAACAAACAGGAGATGAGCAAAGCTGCTTGCACTTCAGTCAGGTACACTGTTACTTGAAGGGAAGAATGTTTCACTTATCCTAGAGCTAAGGCTGCCATGGGAGGCTTTATCTGTGAAGAATTTATTTTAGATTAAGGAACACATCAGGTGCATGATGTTCCTGCTTTTATTTTTTCCACTTGTATATGCACTAATTTTAATTTTTTTAAGACTTTTCTGATCTCTGAAGTTTTGCCACATTGTATACTTAAGGGAAACTCTTTGCAAGGACGTTTCTGGGATACATTTTTGTCACTGAGGATAAAGTAAAATTTATTCATTTTTGATATTATTTGCACCCAGAATAGCATAAAGGACCAGGTAAATAATTTAATAGAAATTGTGTTCTATTAATTACCATTTAGTTCGTAACCTCTGTAAAAGTGTGTTGTATGCAAGCTCTGTATGCCACCCACTGTTAGCTCGGAAAAAAAGAAGATGAACCTTTAAAATTGATCAGCTCGAAGTATCACTGAATTGACCAAAAGCAAAAAAGGAAAGAAAGTTCCCTATTATTTGAATTAAACTTTGTCTAAGCGAAGTGACGAAAATAGCATCATGGGAAACATCTATCATTTATGGAGCATATCAAACTTGCTCTAACCACAACCATCGCCTTTTAAAAAAATGTTTGTATGTTTTCCTGCTAGTCAGAAGCATTTACATTTATGCAATTTTTAATAGATTTTTTTTTAAAAGAAATTGTGTTAAAATGCCTGAAGTTTCAGGAGTGTATTACTTTAGGTTATTTACAGTATAATTTTTGTATAAAGTTCTGTTCTTTGAACCACAGCTTTATTATGGTACGCTACACTGGATACAGATACAAAGACACTGTTAACAGAAGATTAACTAAACACAGCAGTTGTCTGGCATCAAGAGCTTTTCAAGTTTTACAGCCCGAATCTGGAGGGATAATGATCTGCTGTGCCTTTGCAGTCACTGCTTAGCCCAAAGTAATATTACTTTTGATAATACTCAATACATGAATATTCCTGAAGTAATTCAGTCTCAAAAGTCTGGAATTTTCCTCCTCAATTACCTTTCTAATATTTGGACGTGCAGTTGTCTCCAAACTTGGGTATTCATGGGATTTCTAGTTAAACACCTACACTTTGATACTGAAGACTGCCAAATACGTAGGAATTTTCTTTCTTAAAGCAGTAGTGAAGACTGTATCTATCCTTTCCCAGCACTGAATGTTTTAATAGCACTGGGTGCTCACCATGGAGAAAATGTGGAAACTCAAAAGGTCAGGACAGACTCTAAGCACTTGCAACTGATGTTACTGGCATCAATTTTAATAATTCTCAATATTTGTAGTTTTCAGAGAAGTTTTTAATATTTCTCTGTCCACTTTTATAAGCTTTAAAATGATTCTCCGCCTTGAGACTTGCATCAAGGAAAGCAACTCTCGTCACATCGAAAGCTTTGAAGACTAGGGACGTGCTTTACACATTTTAGAAAATGTGGTTGAATCCACATGAGGTAGCATCAGTTGTTGAGTTTAAAGATCGATTATTGTTGCATTTGATCAAATGAATTTTAAAAGGAACATAATGTTTAATATTCAAACGATAACAGTTGCCAGAATGTTCTTTTTAATGTAAAAGGAACAGGAACTTTGAAAAGTGAACATAAAAAAAAAAAAAAAGTCTTTTATCATTAGCTCATGTATTTGAGGAAGAGCAGCTGTCTTTTATATGTTTTTTGACAAATCATATTGTAATTCTTTTGTACAAAAAAGAAGTACTTGTATTCTAGAAGAAATATGAAATGCTTAATTTATAAGCGGGCTGAGGTTTTTTCCAGTATTGTTTTCTTTGAAAATGAAAGGGGATCATCTGTTCAGTTGTGGGGTTTGGGAACCTTTGAAAATTTAATTTGTGGACCAATATTTTGTGAAAGTGTAAGGCAGGGGTAAAATAGGGCTTCAATTCTCATCCTTTTTAGACCAGCAAACCACCCTCTGCAAGACATGTCTAAATTGCAAACCTGTGTGTATTTGCATAATGTCAGTTTGCTTCAGCCCCAGTTAACCACAGGACTTGGTTTAAAAACAAAAAGGTAGACAGCTAATAAGTCTTCATACAGAAATAATGTCAGCCAGAAAATATTTGGTGTCAGGTAATACATAACATGATAATTTAAAAAAAGAAAAAAAAGTTGAGCTTTGTTTTTTTTTTCCTATTTATTTCATTTGGTTTGTATTTGGGAATGATTTAAACAGTCTGAAGTTTAGCTTGGGTGTTTTTTGGGGGAGAGCCCTTCTACCCCATTTTAATTCCATTTAGAAGGTTGTCCTAAAGTTCTAGTTCAGTCCATTCATAGGAAGAATTATATGTCTGTATTTATAAAGAAGAGCCACCAGGATGTGTCCTTCTAGATGGGAAATTTAATTCTAACCTTTCTATTCTTACAGCTAAAAGCACAGACGGGGCAACCTTTGAAATCATGTGATGTTGGTCATTTTAATTTTTGTACTGGTTTTAAATTCTGTTGCTGTATTTACTATATTGTAAATATTTTGTTGAGGGTATCTATATATTTTTTGATTTGCCCTTGTTTCAGTAATTCAGGTGTCAACTGCTTCCCCTAAAAAGCACCAGTATGTTAAGTTCTGATGTCATGATCCCAATATGTGTTACTCATCTTTAATCCTGTTTTCATTCTTCATGTGTACAGCAGTATTTTTAATAAAGAATACCAGAAACAATGTGGCCTTTTTTTGACAACGTGAAGCATTGAATTTGGATATGCAACTTTTCAGCTCTTACACTGGAATTGTATTCTGTTCAGCCATATTTCTTCTGTGTTTCGTTTCCAGTGCAAAGTTCAAACAGCTGCGATTCACAAATAGTTTTTAATGCTTGCCACTTGGAGTACATGACTTATCCTGAAACATATAGATGCTGATTACCCAAGTCATAGTAATACACACTTCCTTAACTCTGAGTCAACTCAATAGCAAAGTATATTAATTTCTCTTAAGAATTTGCATGTTAAGTAATTGACAGCTTCATTTAATGGAATTTCTTTTCTGTACTGTTAACATGCAGTGGTGAGATGACTTACTTTTGGATTGACGTAGAAGAACTTACTCCAGTCCTGACTATGCTTATGTTACATGAAACTGTGCAGTATATATGAAATAGTTGGTAATTAGTATTCATTTAGTAAGGAGTTCTTATCCCTTAAATTGCATTGTTTTTAGAAATTTTATTATATGGAGACTTCATTGCCAGGCCTCTCTCCATCATATATGAAAAGTCATGGCTGTCATAGAATGTCTCTGGTGACTGGAAAAAGGTAAACATATCACTTGCATTTTTAAGAAAGGGAGAAAGTTGGTCTGGGGAACTACAGGCTGGTGAGCCTCACCTCTGTGCCTGGGAAGATCTAGGAGCAGATCCTCCTTAAAGAGATGTTGAGGCACATGAGGGAGGAGCAGGTGATCTGAGACAGCCAGTGTGGCTTCACCAGGGGAAGATTGTGTCTAATCAACCTGGTGGCATTCTGTGATGGAATGATGGCACTGATGGACAAAGGGAAAGCAAGTGATGCCATTTACTTGGACTTCTTTAAGGTCTTTGACATGGTCCCCCATCTCTCTCTAAATTGGAGAGAGAGAGATTTGAAGGTTGCATTGATCAGTAGATAAGGAATTTATTGAATGATCTCAGCCAGAGGATTGTTGTCAGTGGCTCTGTGCCCAGGTGGAGTCCAGTGAATGGTATCCTCCAAGGGGCCAACTTGGGATTGGTACTCTTTAAAATGTTTATCGGTGACACAGATGATGGAATTGAGTGTGCTCTCAGCAAATTTGCTGATGACACCAAGCTGAGAGTGCAGCTGATATGGCAGAAGGAAGAGATGACGTCCAGAGGGATGAGTTCCTGGGAGAACAGTTTATTGAGCATCCCTGCTGAGATGAATGTGGATGCGATAGTGGCCTTCCGTTACTTAAAGGGAGCTTGTAAGGAGGGAGACCAACTATTTACTGGAGAAGATAGTGATAGGACAAAAAGGAATGGTTTTTAGTCTAAATCTCCCCTCTTTTAGTTTGATGTCAGGGGAAGTTATTCACTGACAGAGTGGTGAGGTGCTGGCACAGGCTGCCCAGAGAAGCTGTGGATGCCCCATCCCTCCCTGGAGGCATTCAAGGCCAGGTTGGATGGAGCCCTGGGCAGCCTGGTCTAGTGTCTGATTTAGTGGTTGGCAACCCTGCCTGTGGCAGGGGGAGTGGGGCTAGGTGATCCAACTGGATGGTCTTACAACCCAGGTCATTCTATGATTTAAAACTAAAGCTGTGCTAAGCTCAGTGGGAGCTCTTGTCCTGTAGTTTTTCTCAGTAATGTGCAGCAAGAGCTGCAGAGCGTCCTACGGCTGTAGTTAACACCATTGTGTTCTGTGTCTCCAGAGAAGATATCTTTTCAACCTCCTTTCAAAATGGCTTGGAGTTGAGTCATAAAATATGGCAGAGAGCCCTTGATAGAACACCTAAGTAGAGGCAGCTTCTCTGGGCTGTGCATCTGGGCTGGGGATTTGGAGGTTTTCTGAACAAGAGTGAACAGATACTGGACCTGAGCTGCTAGCTTGCAACACAGCCACTTCAGAACAGGCTTTGTTGGTGACAACTAGCTTAGTGTGAGCAGAAGGGAGACCATTAAGGAATATTTGTCACTGGGCTGATTTGTCTCCCCCCACAGTGAAACATTGGCTCTCTTAGAGGCAGAGTTGAGTTTTTGTCTCCAGACAGCAGTAAGCATTTCTTAGATATGCTGAGTTGAGTGGATTTCACTCACACAGGGAAGGAGGACAGGTGTCTGTCACTGTGTCAAGTTTGTTGCGTGGAGCGTGCCTTCTGTGCCATTGTTCCATGTTCCCATTTGCTCACAAGACTGGTACATTTGGTGTTTTAGTGCTGCTCAGTGCTGAACCATCTGTTGCAGTAATTTCTGATGCTGGATCAACTAATTTGATAGATTCTTCCAAAAAGCAAACTTTATTGCATGAATTTAGTGATCGAATACGCTATGCGAAGACAGAAAATGCAAGATAAAATGTGAGTTATTCACATCACAGAAACTTAGGGGATTCATATAAAAGTAATCTTTGTAGTTCAGTTTTCTTAAATATTTATGCACAAAAAGCATATTTATATATTTACATTGTGCAAACACTTCAGAGGTGCATTATCCCATAATTAATTTTTTGCTGAACCGGACTTAAGAAATTGTTTTCTGAATTTATTTTTTAATTTTTTCCAGAAAGAGGTGGTGCAATAGTTTGTATTTAAAACTGGTGATCTTTTGGGAAGGAGGAACTGGAACTGATGAACGGTTTAGAAGTAGCGATACATATTTCTTTTACTTGCATACATGAGCTCATTTTCCTTTTGAATATACAAAAGATCATTTGCCTTTAGGTCTGTTAATGGGTTAAGTTCACAGTTCCTAAACTGACTCAAGAGATCAGAATCCTATGTAACATATTCAATGTTTCAGCGCTGTTAAATGGCCAAATCCTTGTTAACATTGAATTCAAAAGGGGGTAGTGCATCCCTACGCACCTTGAGCAGGGAACATTCACGTCCTTTCTGAGATGCTATACAAAAGTCTGTTATAAATCAATGATACATTTTTATTCCTGTACATATATACTATTAACTAACCTAGAAATTCAACTGCCTTCAGTAAATATAAAAATAAAACAATAAAATAAAAAAAAAAGTAAATAATAAAAATAAAAAAAGCTGCCCTAACTTTCCAAACAGGTTGCCATGCCACTTCTAAATAATCCCATTGCACTCTAGACACTCTCTAGAAATTAATACTTTGCTTTAAGTATATGTAGTTTAGTAGCCATAGTGTCTTTTCAGACAGATTCCCATAAACAAAATATACTCAGTGCAGTGTTAGAAAGCCCATTAGATTTCACAGACAGAGCTTGGCTTTAGCGTATCTTGTTTGTTTCCAGTGTGTGTATGTTGGCATATTGACAAAGTGCAAAACTTCAGGAATATTTACCTGGTTCCAGTAGGATTGACCAAACTGAGTTGATGTGCATTCCCTCTTATTGTAGTACTGGCTCTGATCTTAGTTAGGTCTTTTGTATCCTTGCAAACTGTGTTTTGAAATTCTTGCTTTGCAAGACTCTCTCCCTCTTTTGTCTTCTGGAGCAGTAAGACATGTGGTGTCTCATCCCAATCTGACTCATTCAGCGCAATGGCTTTCCCCAACGGATCTCAAAGTAGCGTATGATCTGCTTCTTGCTTTTCTCTTCTCTGAGCATCCTTCATTTTTCAACACTACACAGATAGCCTCGCTATAGACCCAAGTAACAGGGTGCAAATTCCAAGATGCTTTATGCTATGGGCTCACCTCAGCTGCTTCTCCCATCCAGAGGCTGGATTAGTGCAGCATTGTGTGCCCTTCTGCTGCCAAGGGACCAAACCATTAACTTGTTCTGTTTGTAATGATGACTGTTCTGGTTGTCAGAAGCACTGGGAAAGTTATTACAGCTATTGCTGTTCAGCATTAGCAAAGTCAAAGCCTAAGCATCAGTATTTTGCTATGTTTTGTACATGTATATAGTGGTCTGTAGAAACAAAAATCACTTAGATTGTCAATGATATCC